GCACAAGTAACGAGTGTATGGGACGTTTTATTGTTTCAAAACCTGACTTTCTGAATGCATGGAGTAATTTTCATCTGGTGCTCAACTTCACATGCCTCCTCTTTCTGTTTTTCGTTTTTGGGTTTGGTTCTGCTACTCGTTTTGGTCTGAAATTTGCATATAGATGAATTTTCAGTGTTGGGCCCAACTTCCCATTATTTAAGCCCAACCCGTTTGACATCTAAATCTGCTGGCCCAGTTATTTTCTTGGGTTGCAAATTGCAATGCAAAATGGTCCTTGATCCGTCAGTAATTAGTCGGCCATTATCCCTAACTACCGTGATTAGGGGCCGTAAGTGGAAATTTTCTTGGGGTTTCAAAAGCAAAAGCAGATACTGATTGATAGATTAGTCGGCAAGCTCTTTTTACTTTCTCCCGTCTCTCTTTTTCTCTTTTGGTAGTAAGCACCTGCACCAATAGTCGAAAAGGTGAAAGCCTGAAAGGGAATTCTGAATGCTAGTTGGGGGGCAAATTTGCAAGTTGCTCCAATGGAGTATTAGTGTGTGCTTAGTTAGTTATTAAAAGCTTCTGACTTGTAGATATCACTCTCAATTAGTCATTAGTAGGCCATTATTACTTTTTGGTGGAATTATTATGATTGTGGAGTAGAGTGGATTGATTGCTAATTTGCTAAGCAGCTGGTAAACGGAAATGATAACTATGCATTTTTTTTACTTATCTCGTACGCTTTTCTTTATTTAAGATCATTAGATTAGATTGAATAAATCAAACAGAAACGATGAAAAAGATTACATAAAGGCGCAAGGCAGAAAAAGCATGGGATTATCATTTCACTGAAAGTAAATGGCCTTGAATGTAGCAAAATCCAGCCAAGCCTTCCACAAACCAAACCAAAAGCCAGTAGATTATAAACGCCAAGATCCCATTCTGGGTGGTGTCCTTTTCATCCCATAAACGCCAAGATCCAAATTATGCTATAGTTGGTGGATTCTACAACCATCTTTTACTTCTTTAGCCTTCCTTTAGTGCCCTAAAAAGTTATAAAGTAGGATGGTGCTATTCATACATTCAGTTTTACCTCTCATATATTCGTTTCAATTTCTGTCTGTCGGATCAAATTAAAGAAGATCAATGGAACTACCTGTAAAATAATTATTCTGAAATGTAGAGGGACAAAAAGAAATGTTAGGATCTTGATTCTTATGTTATTGATCTAAGGAAACTCTTTTAAAAGTAAAACTTTCAGTCGCCTCACATTTAATGTTACATTTCGCGCAAACAATATAAAATATTATACTAAAAACATGAAATTAGTTCATAAAGAACCTTAGTTTTAAGAGAATGACGAAAAACCAACATACATCAACAACTTAAAATCATTCATGCTTGACTGGCCTTGGCCATAACATTGTCCCAAGCTACTAATGACCATGAGGACGACCCAACTGTATTTGCCGAAACATTATTATAGCGGCTGCCGATGCCATTACACCAATGGACACCCAAAATCAAACGGCAGATACGATAACATTAGAAATCTGCACATACTTCGTGTCACAAATGTACAAATACACATGATCAAGTTAAGGTGTCGCTTGGGTTAGATCTAAAGACAAATTTACGAGGAAGGAACCACCTCCACCGCCATGAAACTTCACCATGTGTCGCATATATACGTACGGACGCATCCATATCTCTGAGAGTCACTTTCCTTTATGTGGCATTCAAGAAATGCACAATTGTTTTATCAATCTTTTTGGTGAGGGGGAAGATAGCTTTCTGGAGGTATGTATTGGATCTGATCATTGATCACATGCATGCACCACTTTTCAGCTTCCCCTGGTCCCCCGTGTCATCTCCTTTTTCTAAAGCTAGCTTGCGGTTCATGCATGTATGGGGCCATGGGTGTAGTGCGTAGCGTAAGCGTCTCGTGTTAATAATATAATAATATAAAGAGATAATCTTATATGCATGTATGGATATACTACTATCCTATCGTCTCATCTTATACATGTATGCAATGGTGGAGTCAAAATTTTCAAATAAATGGGATCACGATTTTGATAAAAAAAATTTGGACAATTTCGTCGAGCACCTGATAACAACTTGTCGATTATTGCCAACATGTGCTAACAACTTCAATGATCTGTAGAAGCTTGTCAAGGGTGGCTATAGGAAACTGTGAAGTAATGTCGAAAACTATGAAGACTTGTCAACTGAGCCATTTCATCGAGTACTTGGTGATAAAAAAGAGATTAAAGAAAGACAAAGATGATAATAATAATAAAAAAAAAAGATAGAAGTAGGAGAACAAAGTTGTGATTCAGTTTTCCCTAACTGTTTATACGGTCAAATACCATACGCAAATATGCATACAATTTTTTAAGTTGTTGAAGTCATCGACAACCATTCACCTCATGCTAGATCCGCACTGCATGCATGAGTATAATGTGCCTATCTTATTATGCTAAATAATTAAAAAATAAACGGTTTTTCATGAATACGTTACTTGGTACTTATACCCTCAATTTAATCGATATGGAACTTGCTTTCTGGAACAGAAGATGGAATTTGACACCCACATTACATACTACGGTACTAGTTATATGTGTTTCATATACGACATTGGAATATGTCTTACATAGCAGACAATTATGCAAGCATGCTTAATTAATTTGTCTTTTCGTTTGGTCACAAACCGATTGCCTTGAGACTAAAACTGTATGAACATGGCTGCTTAATTGATTTAGACATGCATCATCATATGTGTTAGCTGGTTCGCAATGTCCCTGTCCCCCTCCCTCTGATTTAGACCTCAAACAACTCCATATAAAACGGTTAAGCCAAGCTAAGTTAAGCTACATTATCCTAAACCAACAAAGAATAACAATATCTCTAATAATGAAAAAACAAGTAACACTATACTTAGTTAGAAGTTGAACTAGAAAATTATCCGAGAATGCAAGATCAATCACACCTATGAATTTTGATATCAAAGATGAAACATAAATTGTTTAGTTTTAATGTTTTAATCTTAACCCTGACACAACGTTCATAAGTAAATACTGAGAATTGTTAGTACAATTAGATGATTAGTGTAGCACGACTCTTAGCAATATGTTTAGTGCAGTAAAATAGCAGGATTTGAGGGGTGGAGGGATCAGGTGTTTCGTGCGGCACTGATTGCGCTGCTTTGGATGTTATTTGGGGGCTGCCTAATTCCGTGTTTAAGTAGAGTGTAGGTAGTGTGGCTGGGTCCCACATGTCCCCACCCCTAAGCTTTGATTAGTCCCTAATCACAGATAAGGGATCATGTAATCTCACCCGTTTATCGTATATCGTGCGATCAGTTTTTGTTAGGTACTATTTATATTTAATTTTAAATTTTAAATTTTGAAATGATTTCTGACCGTCCAATATACGATGAATATGTGAGATCACGGAATTTCTATGATCTCTAAAAAAAGAATCAGGAGAGGATCCTTTTCCCCTAATCACGGTCCTCATGCCCCTAATTACAATATACAATTTTCTTTACTTGTACTAAAACATGTGGAAGATCACTTAAATACCCAAAACTTAGAAAAATCTCCTCTCTAGTCGGCCAGCCGACCTATACGTCGCAATCTTTATTTCTTTTGGTCTAATACAATCTTTGTTTATGTTTTACATTTTATTATTTAACATGTGTATATAAATTTAATATTTTTGTGTTTATTTTTATGTGTTATATCTGCGTATATGTCGTAAAATAATTAATGTCTCCTAATATACAATTTTTAGCAAATTAGAAAATTAAATGTAAATTAGAAAATTTGACTGATATCATCCATCCCTCTCTGGTCTCAACCTACAAATTTACCACAAGATTATGACGTTACAGTGCACCTAACCTAAACGAACACACTATAAATAAAAGAAATTAAAAAAAAATGGTTAGCAAATATTGAGAGATAAATATGGAAAGTAACGTCGTGAATTGTCAAAAAATGCCGATTCCGTCCCTCCAAGGATACTTCCGTTTTGTTCTCATCCGCTACGGAATCCGAAAGAGGATCCGATTGAGAGTGTTCTACTTTTGTCATGCTTCATGATTAATATTATTTTTTTTCTGCAAAAGCACTTATTATTTTAATTAATTAATTACGTACTGCTTTTTATATGACCACCCCACGGCACTAGAGGAGAATGGACGCATTTATTTCATTTACAAATGGCAACTTCGTTTTGCCAAAAAATGAGCAGCCCCTGCTAACATAAGACAAAAACTTGCGTATGGTTGCCCATCACGACATCGAGAATGTGATAGATTCAGAATTTTAACATTTAGAGTGTTCTAATATTAAAGATTAATGTATTTTTTTCTTGTAGTTTTTTTTTAAGTAATGCATTTCGTCAAGTGCCTGGTGCATATGTAGTCATTTGTCGCGCTACGTCGCACACTTGTGCCGAACAGGCATGTCAACAGGTGTCGAGGAAGCCTATGCCGAGTAAAACCTGTTGAAATTTGTCGAAGCATGTTGTTGAAATCCGCCATGCGAGCATTTCTACTAGTAATTCTTATTTGTTGCCTAGAGGAATTTTTGTGCAACGGAAACGATGACACCACATAACGTTACTATTTTACTAGTTTTTATGAGTAGATGACAAAATTGATATGATCTAATTTTAAAATAAATTAGTAAATAACAAATACGCATGTTATAATTTAAGTAGAATAATAACATTACGGGCATTCTAAATACACCAAGTAATTACTCGTACAACTTCTTGTTTGATTCTATGTCAGTCAAGATAACGAGATCTCAAAATCCAATTATACTTCTAATACCTTTCTTGCAATTTACCTGCCATGAAAGTATATAGAATAAAATAAAGAAAAAAAAAGAAAAAAAAGGAGAAAAGCAGAAAGGACAAAAAGAGAAAAGTGGTACAAATAAATAAATAAATAAATAAAACACTGTGTTGATTTGCTTGCTTAATGGAGTGTATTTCAACAAAGACGGAAAGGAGACGAAGTAAGCAAGCAGGTGAGCTGAGGCTCGAGGCACCTAAAACCTCGCCTTTTTTTCATTTCATACCCGCCTTTTTCGGTTTATCTCTTCTCTAATCAGCACTTACCCCACCTCCCCATGTGACGTTGGTTCTTATAAATCTCCCTCACCGCCAAGAAATGTAATCAGATTACAACACTAACGCAACAAACGGTTGGTTGATTACACTTATTTAAGATTGGGTTTTCTTCCAAAACCAAATCTTGTAAATGGGTTCGATTCTTATCCGGATTTGGGTCTGAGTTTTTTTGGTGAACAGAGAGTGTCAGACGGCTCTGCAAATGGAGCGCTTGCCGGTTTCCTCCACCGCCGCTCTCTGCTGCTGCTGCTTCTTCTTCTTTATGGGCTCTGCGAGCTGCGTGTCTGGTCTGGCTCGGAATGGACTCGGACCCACCAGAGATCTTCTGAAATTTAGTCTAGGTACGCTTCTGAATTCGGTTTTTGAAACGGGTCGGATCTCGTGTGCTTTTCCGGTTGCTGCGGAGGATTTAGTGGTGGGAGAAATGGAAAGTGAGATTTTTTGGAGCCATTGGTGTTTTTGGTTTCGAGACAAATGGGAAAATACATAAACCTTCGGTCGCAATTCAATCCAGTTTTTCGGTTTTCGTCTTTGTTCTTATTTTTAGAAAAATCTGATCTTTTATTCCCCCTTTTGATCAGCAACCAAACAAGGCAAATGCTTTTTTTTTGTTACAAACCTGAAGTTCGAATATTTTTGCAGACCCAAGTTCGAATTTCTCTTCCCGAGAGTTGGATTGGATTAAATTAGAATATCGTTCGAATAAAAAAAGTGTTGTCTTATTTAAGTCTAAACGGCTCAGTCTCAAGACTCTCAACTGCTGAAAATTGTGCAGCTTTCTAACATTGTAATTTTTTTGGTCCGTTGTATTTGCAGTGGATGAGAATCTGGGGTCGTGGACAAATGGAATCGAGGAGACTGCTCAATCTCCGGAGCCAAGCGATGCACCGCAAGGGACGCTTGTTTTGGCGGCGAAAAGGACCAACAGGCCGGATGTTCTCAGTCGGTTTAAGCGTTATCGGGGAGGTTGGGACATTGTGAATCGGCATTACTGGGCAGTAAGTCTTGATTCCTTGTTGCATTGTTATGGTGTACCTCCAGTATTGGTTTAAAGATGCAGAATCTGTTTGTTATGTCACAGAATTTCGTGTTCTTTGTTTACCTTATTAGTATTGTTCCTGCTTTTCCTTTAAATGCAATTATCTACACCTTTGTGAATAGTAGTTAGATCAATATATTGTTAAAAAAAGGTCATTTGAGGATTATATTGTTACTTGTACGTATAAGTTTACCATCATTTCCCTGGTAATGTGATCTCTATTTTTCTGCAGTCCGTTGGATTTACGGGTGCTGCTGGTTTCATTATTGCCGTCTTGTGGTTTGTTGCTTTTGGCATGGTACTTGTGGTTCATCATTGCTGTGGATGGAAGATAAACATTAAAGGTGAAGGATCACACCGCTCGCAGAGAATTTGCTTGATTATGCTACTGGTCTTCACATGTGCTTCTGCGTAAAGATCTGAACTTCATATTTTTGACTTAAGATTGTATAATGAGCATTTTTATGTAGTGTAGGAAAGTTTTATGCTATACTTAGTTAGGTCAGCACCTTATCATATTGGCTGTCTGTTGTGCTAGAAAGGCAGTTTCGTTATGTTATCTGTCTCTTGTGTGCCACAATTCTAACATGATAAACTATATCTTCACACAGGACTGGATGTATTCTTCTTTCTGTTGGGCAAGATGAATTTCATGACGAAGTGATGCACACACTAAATTATGTTGTTAACCAGTCGGACTACACTGTGCAGACCCTGAGAAATGTCACGGAGTATCTGACCCTTGCAAAGGCTATTAGCGTGGCCCAGGTTTTCTTACCTTCTGATGTCATGGATGGTATTGACAAGCTGAATGTGGATCTTAACACTGCAGCGGACACACTAACGGAGAAGACAAATGAAAATTCCATTAAAGTAAAAAGAGTCTTCAATATTGTGTATGTGTCCATAAACTTCAGTACTACAATTTAATTAACGGGTTATACTGAAACCCCATGTTTTTTATGGACTAATTTTGAGTTGATTGTTGCAGGCGTTCATCTTTAATCACCGTGGCAGCAGTGATGCTTCTCTTAGCTGTGATTGGTCTTTGTATGTAACAACAGAAACAACCTGATGAATGAAATCTATTGTTTGTTCCTCTTGTTTATTGGAAATTTTGCCTGCTTTCAATTTCAACTGACTGATGTATCTTGTTGCAGTTCTGTCCCTCCTTAGGCACCAACATGCGATCCACATGTAAGTCACCCTTGTACTTTGGCTGTTTTGCTACACTTGTACTAATTCTACTACTCTTCACATTCTGGAGTGTCTTCATATATCTGTCTGACAAAGCCGTGATATTGTTACAGATTTATTGTTAGTGGATGGCTACTTGTGGCAGTTACATTCATTCTTTCCGGAGTTTTTGTGATCCTCAACAAGTAAGAATATGTAATCTTTGATTGAAATGTTTCTGTTCAGGTATTTATTTGCTTGTCTACTGAATCAGCAACTCAATACATTTCTATGGTGATTGTGTTTCAGTGCTGTTTCCGACACCTGTGTAGCCATGGAAGAATGGGTAGAACATCCTCACGCCGAAACAGCACTTAGCAATGTCCTTCCATGTGTTGACCAGAGAACCACAAACAAGACTCTTAGCCAGAGTAAACAAATTGTAAATGACATTGTCAATGTTGTCAACCAGTTCATCTACACCTATGCCAATACGTATCCTTCCCCTGCCAGTCCATACCCTTACTATTACAATCAGTCGGGGCCTCTGATGCCACCTCTCTGTTACCCGTACGATTCTCAACTGAGAGACAGCCAATGTGGGGATCAAGATGTGTCTATTTCAAATGCTTCTTTGGTAAGAATCGTCGACTATGACTATTAATTTGTGTCTTTATATATTCTACTGGAGGCTGCTTGATTTGTGGAACTAATAGATTAGAGAAACAATTGCCGATGGTTTGCTTAATCCCATTTATTTGGTTGTATGAATTCTTCAGGTTTGGAAGAACTATATATGTGAAGTCTCAGCATCCGGGATATGCACAACTGTTGGAAGGGTAAGCCCGGACATCTACAATCAACTTGTTGCAGCTGTTAACGAGAGCTATGCCCTTCAGCACTACACCCCGCCTTTACTGAGCCTTCAGGATTGTAATTTTGTTCGAGACACATTTCGAACAATCACGTCAAGTTACTGTCCTCCGCTGGACCATTACCTGAAAATTGTGAATGCAGGATTGGCCCTGATATCAGTTGGAGTCTTGCTGTGCCTTGTTCTCTGGATACTCTACGCAAACCGCCCCAGAACGGAGGAAGAGTTTGCAAAACCATCCTTGCCAATAAAAGGCAGGAGCGAAAGGAGGAGTTCCAGCACATCAAATGAAGTCTAGTAGTAGAAGTAGTAGGTCTCAGAGTAGAAATCGGTTATACAATTAGGGTTTGTTATCGTCATTATTTTTCGGATTGAAATATCAAAAAGAAAAAACCGAGTGGAGCGAAGTTCCATTACGAGTTGTGGGGGCCTGGGAGCTAATAGCAGTTCCGGTCCTGTATCTGGTTTCTTGTGTATAGTAAAAGCAATTTAGATATTGTTGATCATCTGTCTTGCCTTCTCCTTCTGAGTATTCCTTCATCATCTCAGTTTCGGAGTCGGACACATTGCTGAACTCGGTTTTGTTTCAGAACGGAATGATCAACGATCAAATGACGAAAAGATCACATTTTCGAGCGAAATTAATTCAGCTCAGAAGCCAAAATGATAACTGAGCATTTAACTAATCTGCTGAAATAGCTTCAAAATTTGTTCACAAAAGAAATCGGGTAAAATTCTGAAGTCTTTGAATTTTTTCACTGAACTGATATCTTTACATTTGCTAATTTTGCCCCCCTTGAATCGCATCAGATACAAAAGAACGAGCGAAAATTACAATAAAAGTCACCAACTTTCCATCTAATTACAAGAAAAAGCTGACGACCCAAAAAATTCTTCAGTAAAAAATTGAACTTGTTTGCAAGAAATTAACAGCACTTGCCAGAAGTTGATCTCACAATTCAGTATTATCAAAAGGCACCTCATCGTCGGTTCTTCCACTTCCCGGCGAAGACTCATCGGCAGATTCCGGCGTCTCCGGCATCGCAAGAGTCTCGCGGAGGCCGTGAACGACGAAGGTGTCGCCGTAATACATGTTGGCGAAGAAGACTGGAACTCCATTCAGCAGCAAAACGTTGCCGTTCCTCGAGATGGTGATGGTAAAATCCTGCATGTACGTCGGAAGTACAACGCCGTCTGTGAAACCCGCCAAATCGCTCCACATCAGCCGGCACGGAACGACGTGTCGCAGAAAGATCGAGGGTTCTTGCAGTGGGTTGTCCATCGCTTGGTCGAGAGGAGCGAACACGGTCATTGGAGTCGCGTTCTTGAAACCCAGAAGTTGCAAGTTGAGGAACGACGCCATGACATTGTAGCCATTGGACCTCAGCATTTCACTCGCTTCTTCGAACCGGGAAGCTCCGGGAAACCTAATTGCAGTTGTGCCGTTGGCGGATGACGGCGGGGAAGAAGACCCACAAACCGGATCTGGAACGGGGATCCGAGTCGGTATCGGGAGATGAAAATTGAGGTCGAAGAAGTTATCGATTCCGAAAATGATAAGGAACCCGTCGTCATAAATGGGCGACCCGGAAGTGATCTTGACATTGTTGAGCGAAATTGGGACGCCGGAGGGGGGCGTGGTGACGGAGAGGGATTGTCCAGAGAGTAAAGTCGGGATCTTACTGCCTGAGGGGAGGGATTTGAGGGTTTGGAGGGGCAGGGGAAGAGGGCAGAAGTGGTATTGGAGCAGAGAGAGGGCGGGTTGACCCAATTTGGTGAAGGCGGTGTCCGGTGGAGTGAAGATGGTGAGGGAAGGGGACTGCGGCACGAGGGATTGGGATACGAGCTCAAGTGTCAGCGCCATGGAGACGTAGCCGGAATCGGAGAGGATTTCGACGGCATCTTCGATGGCCTGGGCGGGTAGGGCGGATGAGAAAGAGAGGAGTGAGAGGAGGATGAGGGAGACGAGAAGCGGCGCCTCCATTGATGGTTGGTTGTGCGGAGGAGCTTCGCGAATCAGAAGGAGGAATTTTGGTTCCTTGGAGTGGGATTTCGTTTGTGCGGAGGAGCTTCACTTGCAGTTGCAGAATGCGAGTGAGAGTGAAAGCGGCATTCGGTGTAAATTTAGACACTGTTCGTTCGTGTTTTGGCGCCAAAGATGAACACGTGGCGTGATTGGGTTTGTTGACGTTACGGTGTTCGTTACGACGAGTTTGTTAAGCGGTTTTCTTTGAATGACGATTACACCCCTGATGTCGTAGAATTTTGGAGAAATTACATTCTCTTCCTTCATTTTTCTATTTCATTAATTAAAATTTATTTCTTTTCAGTTTTTTTATCAAGATTTATTTATTTATCAAATTATAGGTTTTGTTAGATTAAATGTTAAATTAATTATCAAAAATTGATCCACATCATCATGCGATGACTTAATTTATTTCCACCATTTTTATTCTCGTTTATTATTTTAATAATAAAATATTTACGTATCAGTACATTTAAATAAAATAGGAGATCCGATGGGTAGTATTGTGAGGTCACACGCCATGCAAATGCAGTATTATTTATTTCTTTAAGAGAGTGCATCACGAATTATGTGAAGGTGAATGATATTCAAATACAATGATGGCCATTTAATATGACAAATATTATAAAAAATATGAGTACATTATTGATAGGAAATATAAATCTAAAATAATTGAAGGTGTAATAGGGATTCAATGATAGCCATTTAGCATATAAGAAAGTATGATCCATGGCATGAGAAAGTCGATCGTCACCTCACCCACTCAACTCTCCATCCAATTATGCAACATGCACCAATTAAACATAGGGAAGTTAGATTCAAGTTTAAATTTTCATTTTTTTTTTTAACGGGGACAACTTTTAGTGAATCACGTTATTCACTTGTTTCGGACTCGGAGAAGTTTAGTTGGGAATTACACCATAGTCGTGACTACAATCAAACAGATTCATAGCTTACAAAGAATAACATATCTTTATGATAAGAAGATAACAAAAGTTTTGAAGTGAAACGTATTTAGATAGCATTGAATACAACTAATTCTAAAAAGATAGATTACAAATAAAAATATCTATAATATAAGTAGCTAAAAACGATTTATTTGTGATGTAGATAGATTATTGACAACAAAATCTTTGATATAGATATATTAAATAAGTTAAAAAGCTGAATGCACCATGGTTGAAGAGGTTTAATTCTTATAAATTAGAATATTACAATTCTTTTAAACTTTCAGTTTTATCACAAACTTAACAAAAAATAATAATCGTTGGACCTATTTTTAAAAAAATAGAGTATTCCTAATAATAGCTCACAAAATTATATTTATGTTGAATTTACGCTTACATGCATATGTGTATTATTATTTAATTTGTTTATGCAAATAAATTAGAAACTAATTGCTTCGACAAGTCAAAATCGCATCATATAACTCCCACTAATTATAATAGTATTTGATGCTCTTTCAGTCGCACTTCCTGCAAATCGTATAAATGTTTGTTGATCAACCACACCTCACCTTCTTATAAAGTAAACCTAGAAAACGATAAAACCAGATTATTAGTCTAACGTTTTAATTTAATTATGGTTTAGGTCACGAAAAAGGAAAAGAAAATTTGGTTTTGGTGATGCAACTGTTCAGGACTCAAATGCGGCTATCCCTCATCCAGAATGGTGAATAATTGACGTGTTCTTACCGGTAAGAAACTGTGTAAATATTCAACTTATATGAACGTGTTATTACCGGTAAGAAGATGTGTAAATATTCAGCTTAGATATTGAACGTGTACTTACCGGTAAGAACACCTGCAAATAAAAGATGCATGTCATTACTTGCCTTGACACGTTAACCCTTGCATCATGGCATGCCAAAACATCATTGTGGGCCTCTGACGAAATGTCATGGCATGCATTTTGCACGCTTGGCATGGCTTGTCATGACACGGTAACGCTCCCATCGTGGCACACCCGAACGTTGATGTTGACCACAATATGACAAGCATCGCGAATTGTCGACAAAATGCATTTCATGACATGCTGTGCATTCTCTCCATAAACCCTAATGCTCCACTTGATTTTTCGGAAAATTTAAGCAATTGAAACTAAGAATTTAGAAAGGAGAGAAAGATAGGCTTACATGCACTCTCTCTATAAACCCTAACAATCGTTGACTTTCTTTGCCTACATGATCTCTTCCCCACTCATTTTACCACAAGATTTGAGATAGGTATTGTAGTTGACACACTTATTTTTATTTTTCACACTTCTCTTACAATTTTGGGTTGTCCGGTCGAATGAATTAAATAAGATTTGAGATGGGTATTGCTATTCACACACCTATTTTTATTTTTTAAACGCATCGTACAATTTTTGGCCGTCTGATCGAATGAACTAAAAAATATTAATGACAAAAATTAACAAATGTACCTGTTTGGGCCCAAAATACTATGATTGGGCCAAGCAGCAAGATGTGCTCGGCCCAAGGTAATGACAAATGCTATGGGCCGAATAACAAACCCGGGCCAGCTGGCAGGGTCGGCCAAATCCTATCCTAAGAGGTCCAGGTGAATAGAAAAGGTCGAGGAAGTCCTGGTGCGACCAGGAGTCTCGACCGGCAAGGAATAAAGCCTCAAAAGGAGGAAAATTCAGAATCCCAGTAGGAGTAGGATTGTTCGAGTTAAAGGTAAAATGGGACAAGGACTCCCAATCCGAATCAAAGTGCGAATTGGATTCAAGGAGCGAGGTGCTATAAATACAAGAAATTACGCAATAGAAAGCTCTCTTCAACATCAGCATACAATTGCCCTGCGCAAATTCTCTCAAACACCTTGAGATCTTTTCCTTTTCTTTTCCTGCCGACACACCTTCAGTTTGGATAAACAGCACTGTAGAAGCAACCGGTGAGCACCTTCAGTTTGGATAAACAGCACTTCTGCCGCAGAATCAGCCGACCGAGAAACACCTTCAATTTGGATAGACAGCACTGTGTCGAGGTCGACCGATTATCTATCTAAGTCTCGGCCGAGAAGGGTTTTCGAACCTTTGTTGGTAGAGGTCATCTGACTAAGCCTTTTCGGCATAGTTGGGTGTTACGAATTGCATTGCTCGGCGTATTGGACGCCGAGTGAGTTTATGATTGGATACTCGCAAGTAAGTTTCAGGGTTCGGCATTCCGACGGCCGAACTACGTTCACCATCAAGACATACATCACATTCGAGTACCTGTGCCCATACAGTTTGGTCTCGATTCGGCGTGCTTATACTCTTACGAATATAATCACAGTGACCGAATCAGGGTCCGACGACTTGTGAACTTCGTAGAATTAGTAGCCTTGTCTTCAGGCTATAGAACCCAGAGGCCGAGAGCGTTCCTTCCTCGGTCGCAATCGCAAGATACAGAAGTCAATAGCGCACCCAACGCGACAACATCGCATTTTACTCCTCGGCCGAGCTCGGCCGACGAGTTGGCACGCCCCGCATTCAGCCGAAGGACGTAGTTAGCTCATTAGTTACTCGGCCTGCGCGCCACGTAGGTTTTGTAATTTTTGTAGACAACAATACCTAAGAGGTAAAAATAAGTGGTTAAATAACAATTTTCATTTGAGATTACATATATTCATCTTAGACAAATATGACTACATTAGGATATCTTAGTGGTTAGATGTTAGGTTAAGGAGCTGATGGGGTTTGAATCCATACAGAGATGCAATTGCATAACTCCTTTCCACCACTGTAGTGAAATGCCACTTGCACGAAAAATGATCAATTGATCTCTCATATATATGCGTTTGAACAAACAACCATTAGTTACGTAATTAAAATGCAATTAACAAACCAAAACAAGGAATCTTAAATTTGTGATATCATGTCATGAGCAACAATGATTTCAGTGCATTTTATTTTGGAAACTTTAACGAAAAGCTCTCGGTACTGTTCACTTTAACGAAAAATCACATTTTTACGCTAAAAAGTTAATTATGGTACTATTTGCTTTACCATTTATTTTGTTCTTATCGTTAAAACTCAAAATTTTCAAATCATTTTTATTAGTTTTTATTTTCCTACATAATGTATTTACGTACATTCATCGGCTTTCATTTGATCTATTCAATACAAATTATTTAGAGACTTGGTAGTTAGAGATATGCAGGTGAAAATGTTGTACCAAAATTACTCCACAAAAACAACGATGGTGTGGTTAGAGATGAGAAAATGAAATTTACCTTGAAAGTTAAGTTGTGGAAAATCTTAACGGTAATAACGGTTAAAGTACAAGGAATCGTGGAAGTCGAGCCCTCTCTCTCTCTCTCTCTCTCTCTCTCTCTCTCTCTCTAAGCTTGCTCTTAATCCATATAGAACAGATCCTATCCGGATCCCTGTCACCAAATTAATCAATCTTAATCTTTGAAATTTGATTAAATAACTATAAATAGAGAGCTCATTTGAAAATTATAATAGTTTTAGTCATTGAATCAAATTTCAAGAGTCCAAATTAGGTGATTAGGTGGATTTGGTGGAAGAGATTCGGAGAGGATTCCTTTCCAATCCATATATAAATACAATACAATGTCACTCAGCACTACGGTCTGATGATATTTTTCTTCACTTAAAAGTAAGAAGTCTTATGTTCGAATCTTGTGGATGACAAATTTCATACCAAATTAAATTGTCCATATTCATAGCTGAACTCTTCATTTCTTGTAAAAATATCAATGTATTAAAAAAAAAAAAAAACATGTGGACACGTCTACATAAATATCTTGCACAGTAAATAAGAGAGAGAAAGAGAGAGACAAGAGTGCTGTATTAACGCCGCTATTTTAGAACACAAATATTAATTAATTAATTAATCTTGGATTAAGACGCTATATTTGTAAATTGAGTCCCAAAACAAGTGGCTCAATCTCTTGGCTTCAAGAATATCGTAACCTCTTCGTAAGTCTCTCAGATTCTTCATTTCTTGTTTTCTTGATGCCTTTTAAGGCCTGAGTTTTCATAAAGGTATCAACTTTCTGGCATCTCACTTTGCTTTCTTTTCTGGGTACTTTCTTCTTCCTTCTCTTTTTCTTTCTTTTCGATGATCATTCAGAATTCTCTACTTATTTAATTTGGTTGAATTCTTTGCTGGTTCGATTTGTTACGAGCTTTGCTGATTTTCGTGTATCCTTTTGCGATATGAATTGATAACGGCGATATTCTTTCGTTGATTTCTGTTGTTTTAATACAGTTCAACTTCTCATGTATCAAACAAAATGGATTTTTATTTTTTCCAGGGGGTTTCCTTAAAACGTTGTGAATTCCTGTGTTTCTTGTGGAGATTTTAAGGATGGGGGAGCACTTTGTATTGTTGGTGGATCGATTGATCACCGAATCCACTTTAGAAGCTGCGATCGAGAGCAGAAACAGATCGATGCAAGCCACTTCCTCAGCGCTCGAAGATGCGAAAAGCGACGTCTCTTGTCAGAAAGTCGATTTTAAAGATACACCTTCCTCTCCTGGGAAGCTAGCAGAATGCAGGATTTGTAAGGATGAGGATCAGGATTCGAACATGGAGTCGCCGTGCTCTTGTTGTGGCAGCTTAAAGGTTAGTTCGCCTAATAACTAGTCCTATTTCTTAAGCTTCAATTTTGTTGTGTGATATCCTTGTCATTGTTTCGAGGATTAAGATAAAGAAGTGTCATTAATTTCTTCAAGCGCGTTCCAAGATCAAATGTTCATGTGCGTTTCTGTGTTCGAAATTGAATTTAATTGGTGTCTTAATCTTGCAGTATGTCCACAGAAGATGTGTACAGAGGTGGTGTAATGAGAAAGGCGACACAATTTGTGAGATATGCCATCAGGTGAGTTCACTAATCTGACATTAATCCAATAATTAACCCCTTCCATGGAGAAATTTTAGTCGATGATATGAAAAATACCCTTGTGACATTGATTATTATTACTTCCAGCAATTCAAGCCGGGTTACACGGCTCCTCCTCCGCTGTTTGAGTTTGGGCGTGTACCTATGAACTTTAGGTGAATTATGTTACTAATCTCCGTGTGATAAGGCTTTGCTTAAGTACATTTCTTTCTGATTAAAACTTTGGTTGTCCTAACAGGGGAAACTGGGAGATCTTGAGAAGGGACAGTCCTCGAACCATAGCAATCGTTGCAACTGATCGCGATTTCCTTAACCCTGGCTATGACGAGTACTCAGTTTCTACTGCAAGAAATGTGTTATTGGGCAGTTCGCTCACTTTCATTGTAATTTCTCTTCCTCGAGCAGATGGTAAACTGATGAATTCTGCATTTTCTTATCCTGATGATCATATCTGAACAAGTTTTGGTTTTGTTTCTTGGTGTGCCTATAGTTTATGGTTCTGCTGTTTCTCCGGCATACGCTTCCCCTCATCATCAGCGGAAACCAAGAGTACTCTTTCCCACTTGTTATGGTAAAAACATTTACAAATTAGCTTCAACCCTGCTTCATGGATTTCATAAGGTAGAAGGTACAACATCTGAAAATCTGACCTTCGATTAATTTCTTGCTTGTGTTTGCGCAGTTGTTAGTAGTGCGAACTTCTGGGTTTGTGCTGCCAATCTATGGAATGGTGATGGCAGTAACTGCTCTCCTGCGCAGGCAAAGCCACCAAGTATGTATATGCATGTTCTCTTCCTATTATTTTGTGTATGCATGTGATAGATGGTAGCGCTCAAGTGGTAACCAATTAGTATGCTAACACGGCACTAACTAGTTCACTTGTTGATATGGCGGGTAAAATGCGATTAGGATCTTTCAAGTTCGTCAGCAACCTCCTCGGATGAAGAAACAGAACCTACAACCCTGCAGCTTGATACGGAGCCCCAGCCCCATATTATTCGTGGTCACTAAATTCAGCCTAATACCAGCAAATCGACGTAATTAAGTATTGGCTTGTGATCAAGAGGAGAGAGGCACGCAATTTCAGCAGGAGGCATCAATCAAAGACGAAAAGAATGAATCGAAATTGGCCTGCAATGCTTGTTGGTGGGCAGTTAGTGAAGTATCCTACTGTATTATATAAACAGAAATTATACTGAGAAAATCAAGTCAAGCAACCAAAGCTGACAAATCATATGTAAGTTGAAATGTAAATACTAAAACAATCCTCAATTGTGTCACAGAAACAGCCAGCATTCAGTATTTATTTTAGAGGTGGATATTCCAATTCATACACATCTTGGTGAGAAATCATGTCGAAGTCTTCATCTTCCTCTACCAAATCATAGTCTTCGTCTTCCGCTTCGTCGGAAACAATCACATCAAAGTCGTCTTCTTCGTCTTCCTCCTCTTTATTTTCCTCTTCCATCGCAATCTCCGGGTCTGTTTCACCGAAAAGATATTGCGTCAATCCATCCAAAGACAGTCTATGGTTCGCTTTCCTGGGGCCCTTGTTTGTACTAATGAAACGCGAAGCTTCCTCGTATGATATTAAAGCATCCAAGCAAGCGTAGCGAACCTGAGTAGGATCAAGGTACGTTTTGTCCCAGTCACCGTTTCTCACATTAGTAGGCTTCTCAGGCTTCCTAACCTTGATGAATTGATTAATGTCGATCGGATATGCTACGTCCAACTTATAGTGCTCCTCCAGCTTATCCTTGATGTATGTCATTCTCTCGCTAACAAACACACAACTCTTGCTGCCAAGATAGTTAACGATCGACTGCGGAACCGTGTCACAATCCTTAAACTGAAAGACAAGACATTTATAACCATTCCCACCATTCCCACCACCCTCGTCGAGGGCAAAATATTTTGTTCCGGGAGAGCGTTGGACGGTGCAGATTTGCAAAGTGGACGGGCGAGTATGATCTCCTGTCAAGGATTTGCAACGCCATTCTATGTCGAGTCCTACGATGTTGATATTGTCGTCACGGCTTCGCATGCATCCTACCCAAGAATCCACTATTTCGGGTTTTCTGGTGACCAAGGTTTTGATGGTGGTGCTGCCAAAAACCACGTCGTAAAGCTGGTGGCTGTCTCTGTACTTCACTGATCTAATGGAAGATTTGGCCTCTGCAGTGGGAGACGCCATCTCTATCTACGGAATGAAAGAGAACATGTTATGATACAAGCTCAAGAAATATTTTCATAAAAATTGGCACCCAAATCAAATTACAAAAATATATTAAAAAAAAAAGAGTTTGAGCACTACTTTTATTCGTTATACGAATTGTATCGTACAAATGGAAATCAAGAACAAAAGATCATAAATCACGAAACAAACAGGTTCCATAAAACCTTAAAATTATGAAGGAACTGCATGAGAAAAACCCTAATACAAAGAGTATCAACAAATTAGAGAGAGAAAGAGGAGTACACAGAGAGAGAGAGAGAGAGAGAAGCTGTTAAATCTAAATCAATCTCACAAGTGTCTACTTTCTCAAAGGCCAAAGGAAGGAAAGCTGTCTTCGAGCTTGCATCTACAAGACAAGACCTGTAAATTTTTAGGATTTTCCTGTTTTTTTTTTTTTGTTTTTTGTTTTTTTTTTTTTTTTGGGTGCGGGATGAGCTGTATTTGGGCTTTGTCTCCTGTGTTTTTGTCGGCCTCTCTTTCATTTGTGCTTATCTTGTTTTTGAGTCTATGTTTGTACTCGTTCTTTTTTTTTTTTTTTTGTTTTTTGAAGACTGTTTGTTCTCGTTCTTTGTTGCTCATGAATTTTGCCATTTGTTAAAAAGCAAAGAAAAGAAAGGAAAGACTTTGAACTTCTTCAGTCTATTTAATCCTCGCAGTTGCACCTAAGTCGTAATAACATATTTATAGGCATTCAAATCATGAAACAATTCAATTTCAATGTCAACATTATAAATATTGTGCAAAAAAGATAAGGTGGTAGATACTTCACCGAGAGTCTTCTTAACTTTTCTCTTAGATGTTAAGCGTACATTAATGAGTAAAACATTAAGGATCAGATCAATGAGTTTGGAACATAAAAGATCAATGGGCGATGTTATCAAAACACACTTTTTTTTACTTTTCACCCCTATGCATCTCTAGCTATCCGATCGAGAAAATTGAATAAAATAAATGGATAAAATTTAACAAAAGTATGTGATATGTAAAAAAAATATATGTGCAAAGCACTGCCCACAACCGTACAAGTGAAACATTAACAGTCAAATCTCAAATGCTGAAAGTCTAGTAGGCCGGCTGTCAATGTATTTCGGTTGAACGGCAAATCCTTATCCACTAGTCAGTTGTCCTAAAAATGGACACGTGGCGTCCGTCCAATATGCATCAACACGCTTATACTGTGGAGAGGTTTGACTTTGAGGGGTTGTCCACGAAGCACCAACTGAAATCTAATTCAAAATTTGGAATATTCGAAATTGGTGGCTGTCCGAAACGTTCTAGAATCCCTTTTTACCGAAATCTAACGTCCGAATCGGGACCTCGTCGTCTTCGCCTTTTTCAAATCGTTCTAATTTTCTCTCAGGTACTCCCGTCTCGTCATTTTTCATCTCTCAGTCCAGTTTTTCGCTAATTTTTCGGTACTTATAGTTTAATTTAATCGAGTTCTCAGTAAATGCTTGTAGTTCATGCGCTTAACTACGCTTTTATTATTAATTTTTATATTTTGATTTGTATCTGTGGAGTGTGTGCTGTGGATTATACAAATGTGGTTGAAATTTGAAATTGTTTTAATTTTTAATTTTACAGGATCTCCTTTTTCTGTAATAATTTGGGTGCCTTCGACATTCGCTGAGTATGAAGTTCTTGGAATACACCCCGTTGGAGCGGTAACTTAATTTGGTCCTTGCACTCTGATTCTGTGCAATTTTTGTGCAATAGCAGCCATTTAATTTGGTCCTTACACTCTGATTCTGTGCAATTTTTGTAAATTTAAAAAGTTTTGGGCTTGACTTTTGCAGTTTAAATGATTTCTTTAGTGATTTGAATCTCGGAGAGCGAACAATTAAGGGTTGTCTTGAAGCTTACTCTTGTGGGTACAATTTGTATTTTTTGAATTTTTCGAGCTATCAACGTGTTTGTGATTCGTTGGAGAAAGACTTATTTTCTGTTGTGTTTTAATTACTAGGCAAACACACCGGATCGGATAAGAAATTGTCTCTCAGTTTGGAGAATGAGGTAAAATATAAGAATTTTTATAATTCTGTGTAGATTTGTGGCTTGCTGCAAAACCGAGTGGAATAGCATTCTAGGATTCATACAGCCGACCCCTCTTAGTGGGATAAGGCCTTGTTGTTGTTGTTGTTGTTTTATGTCGATTTGGTATTTTTTTTGTCATCTACTCTCATTTACTTATCTGTATATTATCATATGTATTGATCTGATTATATATTTTAGTAAGTAAGGATGCTTTCTGTATATTGGTTTCCAAACATCGAAAGCTTTCTTGCATATTCGTACTTTTCATTTTTGGCCATCCCATATTCTCTTGCTATATAAATGAGAGATTGGTCTCGATATTATTGTTCTGTTGAAATACTCAGATTCTTGATTATCTTGGGAAATCTTCGGACTCTGATTCTTCCTCGCCTGCTGAATTTCTGCTGACTAGATCCAGGTGACCTATGTTAACTAGATAGATGTGGAAAGTTGCACGTTGTTTCTCATCGATGTTTAATTTGTAATACTTTATGTGCATTCCAGCCGGAAGACATTGATTTACCTTGTTTTGACACTCTATCACTTGTATCCGGACTATGACTTCAGGTATCCCTGTTTCTTTGGGCTTTATTAAACACATTGTATTTCATTTCATGGAGGCCTGAACAAGAGGATTATGGGTAATGTCACGGTCAGCTTATTGGGCGACGTGGCAACCCGCTGTATAATCCTCTTATGTGTTTGCATTGGGAGTGTTGTCAAGTGGTTTGACAGACAGTTTGAACTGTCGCTCTGCATGGAGCTGAGAGTTCAAGTCTCTCCATTTCCCAAGTAAAAAAAGTTGAACATTTGTGTCATGGATTTTGTTTTATTTTGCACCTAATGACTTTGGAGTATATTGTACACTGAGGCATTGACGTGGAGGTCCTTCTTAATAGTTTCTTTGTAGTTTGTATAAGTGTATTACCCACATCTTTGTGGTTTCCAGTGCAGTAAATGCTCATCAGTTCTTCACAGAGGAAAGCTGGGACAGTTTTAAGCAGATTTTTGATACCTCTATGTTTGAAGCATCAAAGGTATTGCTGTGATAAAATCATAAAACGCGCTCTTGCTTTGTTGTCCGTGTATGTTACTTTGTGCAGCTACAGTTACATTACTTTGCAATCCTCCTGTTGACCAGATGCTGAGTCTAGTTCATTATTATTTGTCATATCATTTAGTTTTTATAGAATATTGACGGCTTTATTACACTGAAGACGATGTTGATCCTGTTCTCTGGTTTTGCTGGGACAATTCAATTCAGGAATGGACAGTGACAAATGAGGGCAGTTCCTTGCTGGAAGCCTTGTACAAGGCTTTGGATGAGGTAAGCATATTTTCAAAAGAAGTGAAAGCAGGTAATTCCAGGAGGCAATTTTCTGATACCTTGCAATGCAGGTTGTTAGACTAGCGGAATGTGAAGTTTACAGTTACAGTCCAGACTCGGATGCTGATCCGTTTCTTGAGAGAGGATCCATGTGAGTTATCTTTTTGTTACTTGATAAATTTACACATTCTTGGCTGCATATACCTGTCAATGACATTGCGCTCTTTTGTTTCCTGCAGATGGTCGTTCAATTTCTTTTTCTACAATAGGAAACTTAAGCGTGTTGTGAGCTTCCGTGTCTGCTGTTTAAGGTGGGTTACAATCATCTCCAAACTTCTTTAAATTTTAACAAGTGCTCCCACAAAGAACCAACGACCAAGGGGTTTTCTGTTTACCCACTGTTTTTGGCAGTAACCTGGTGGCTGATGGATTTCTGATGGACGAGTTGCGCTACGATGAAGATGGAGAAGTTTTCGACAACATGGACATTTGAGCGCAATATGCTGTATTGCTGTTGTTCTGTGCAGTTAGTATGTCAAAGATACTTGGCAACCATCTGAAGTTGTGTAGCTTTAAGACTGACGGTCCACCCATATTCCGGGAGGCCCAAGTAGTTGGTTTAGCAATTCGTCACCAAATTTGGGTGTTGTTTGTTATGTACGGAAGAGCGATGCATGTGTATATTTTGTCAAATACAATAAACTGAGGCTTGTGAAACTCTTAAATTTCTGTATTTTTAGGTTACTCGCGGACACAGGACTCCGATTTTTTACGACAATAAATCCAAGAGTTGAACACTCTAGATCCCCACAGTGGGGCAAGGTCCTTGTACTAATTTGTCTCACGTTGGACACGTCGTACAAGATGTGAAAGCTACGTTGCCCATGATCACTAGAGCTTTTGTTACCAATGTTCGCCGTCAAGTTAGACGGTGTTGCCAACCGCCTCACGTCTTATTCTGGTTTACTGTTACGCTGTGTTCTTTGTCCAATAATACGTAGCTATGTGTGCATGTTTCTTTTCACTTATAAATGTATCACTTTAATTACAACCACTTGTTCCTTTTATTTCTTCATCATTACAAGATTTTATATTCTTTGTTTTCATTCGAGCAATATTTTAATTTAATAAATTAAGAAATGGTAATTCAAATTTGAGTGTAGAAGAAAATATATGGTCCTATACTAAGTTAATTAATCTGCTATATTTAATATGTTTTATAAACTTGTGAACTAAAAATAAAATAATAAAGATCTAACTTCGCGTTCCAAACCGACTTACGTGCTTTACAATAGTAGTAATAAATTGGTGATTAATCACCAACCAAGTCACAAATTAATACAATCTAACTTCTTCGTTCTATTTGGAAAAAAAGAAAGAGTAATGTTATTCATACCATCTTTTTATACCATATTTTTATACCATGTAGCAACTGATGTGGATAGCCATATAATTTGAAAATTTTGCAAAACCCAAGGAAATGAATGAGAAAACTCTTCGTATATCACAATCATCATTTAATTGACTAGTTTTTCTTAATTATTAGTTTATTAAATAATGAACTAAATTAAAAAATCTGATTAATTCAAATGAAGTGGCTGTCCAAATCAAATGTCATCTAAGATTGTATGAAAATGTGATATAAAAACATGTTATGAATAACATTATTGAAAAAGAAAAGAAAATTCCGTTCAGCTACCAGTACCACCATTACAGTTACGATAGAAATTAATACGATATTAATCTCCCTACTAATCTAGTATTAACGATCCAAAGATCATATACTGAACCCCCGAAAAAAAGGAAATCCAGGAAATGAAAAATTATGATTAATTATCTAGAACCAATCGGCTCTTCTTTGATGGTTTCCAACACCGGCTTCCTTGACCTAGACGCAGCTAATCTGTACTGAAACTCTGCCACTTGCAACCCCTCAACTCCGTCCAAGCTCAGCCGCAATGGACCTTGATGATCACCTTCATGATCTTGATCACCATGATTTTCTTTCCCACTCTCCACCGCCACCACTTCTCCTCCTCCGCCACCACTCTCCGGCAATATCCTAACCTTCCAGCCGGATATACGTTTGGTAGCGGAGTTAGCCGCCATGAAGAACACGGCCATGTCAGCCGCAGTGACTATGGAGCTGAGCCTCCTCATTGGAAACATGATGTATACGTTCCCGAACTCCAACTCCTCATCGGCGGTGAGGGCGGAGAATCTCCGGCCCATTTGGAGAGAAGTCGAGTTGGCCAAGAAGGCGTTGGGACACTCCAGCATGAGCTCCGCCGCCTTGGTCGTCTCCCGGAACTGCCGGACGTCGCCGTTGGGGAAGATCACCCTCGCTGATTTGGAGCTCTTGATCATCGGCGTGGCCAAAGTGCATGAGATGTAGTTTCCCATTTGAGAGTCGAGAGAGAGAGAGAGAGAGAGAGAGAGAGAGAGAGAACCCTGTGTAAACTTCGATGAATTGGAATCTGGTTAAAGAGTTGGTTGGTTTGTGAGAAAACGTTGTGAGGGGGTTTTATAGAGGGGAGAGCGAGTCAATCAGAGTCGCCAGTGGAAGTAGTTCTACTCGTTTGTTGTGTGGCGCTACTTGTTTGGTGTTTTGCGAAAAAAGTTAAGTGCAAATTTGCTCCTTGAATTTTAGTGGTTGTTTCATTTTGCTCCTCAAATAAAAGTTGACAAACTTAGAAGGGAGCGTATATGGTGTCGATTATGGCAGCACTAAAATTTCTCGACCGTCACAATGCGAAATGTGGAGGGAAAGAAGGGGAGTGGTAGTATTGTATGTGGCAAAGTTTTTATATCTTACTTTAACAAAAAATAAGAGTCTATTTGGTAATCTACTTGAATTTAACTTTTTGTATATGACAAAATTTTTGTATATTTGTTCAAAAATAAACTAGTTTTTTTATTTTTATTTTTTAACAAACGATAATATCTACACCAAGGGAGTAGGGCTAAGCCTTACAAAGGGTTAGCAGCAATGTGATTAAAATTCACCTTTTGCGAGAATTGAATCTAAGACTTCTCACTTACCGATGAAGAGGAATACCACTAAGCCGTAGTACTAAGTAGCAATAAATGTCTGGCTGTAGACATAAGCAATCGCGTATAAGTCGATGAGGGGCATTTTGATCAACTTATATGAGTTACTAAAATACTCTTCAAAAATCAAAATACAATAACGTTTCATTCTGTCAACTTTTGTAACAAAACCCACTTTATATTTTTATGGGGTTTTTTGATATGGGTCCAAAGTAACCAAAAATTGAACCTATTTCAAAATGTGGCCTATAAAATTGGACCTATTTCAAATTTTTCCTATTTTTATTAGACATACTTTCAAAGTTCAAGGGTGAACTTGAGACGAAAAAAGTTGAAGGACGAAAGTGAAGTAACTGGAAAATTGTAGGGGAAAAAGATGAAATCAACCCTTAACAAAATAAAAGAAGAAAATAAATGCGCGTTCGGGATGAAAAGTTTTGGAAAAGGTGGGGAAGGAGCATGTGTTTCAAACTTTGATGTGTCCTGTTTCTCTCTCTCCTCTTTGTCATGCGAATTTTCGCTGTGAATGCGTGTGGGACCCAATTATTACCATCCGAATTCCAGCTAGAGGTGCTGAGTCACCGGACTCGCTGCCGCCAATAGTTCACCAGAAGCTTTCGGATATTTTCAAGTCAATTTTTATTGATGTCGTTTTCGTGGGTTTCCTTCTGGGCCCGGTCCAACCGGAGTTGTTCGACACGTACCAAGGACCAAGTTTATCGCCTTAATCATTGGAAGCATGGAAGTTTAATGCGTCTTCCCTATTGTCCACTCTTCTGTCCTTTGGAGACTTATCTACTCGTTTTTCATTTTTTCACATGAAGAAATTGCCTTTTAATTTCTTCCAAATTACATTGTTTTTCAGTTACTTGTTGATTAACGAGTAATTCTGATGTGGATGGATTTGATTAGGGAAATGCGGAAATAGTACTTCAAGATCCACTACGTGTCTAAAGTTATTTGGTCTTCTTGACGTTTGTTTAAAATTTTGAATTTGCCTTTTTGATCCTAACTAAGGGCGGTTGTTTCAGGAAATAATTGGCACATACTTTTTGTTTCTTCCTACGTACTTATATTTAATTATGTGGCTGTAAATAAAATGAGAGTGAGTGAAAAGCTAAAACAATGTGTGTGAAAATCATCCCATTTTAAGTATGTAATTATTACAATGTAAGCCATATTATAATTATCAAAGGAGAGGAGCTTCAAATCAAACACATGATCTCGACTGCAAGGCTAAATGCTAAAGTGGTTAGAAACATGTACCCTTCCATCGAGTTTTTGGAGTCAATCACTTTCTTAATATAACTTGTATTAAAAAAAATATTGTTAATGTTTGAACTACAAATCCTTCTTTTCAAGACTGTTGACTTAAAACATCAAATACCATATTGGAATTATAAATTATGAAGCGTTAACTTAAAACATCAAAGACTATGCATAAAGTTGGAATGTCCGGGGAGTTCATACTGTTGACAAAATATTATTTGTCGGTGGGTTTCACGCACGCCATGCCCAACACAGTTGAGAAGGTGTTTTTGTCACGAACCAAATGGGATCATACGAGTAATGCTGGTGAGCAAACTATTTACATTAAATTTTGTAAATATTACGTAACATGGTTGTTAACGATTATATTATTATTTAACTGTTGATTAACGTGTTTATTTTCTATTGATCATATATCACATAATTTGCAATTTATGTTTAAAATTTGGTTTATTTAGCATTACTCCGAATTAGACATTATACGGTTTATAATAGAAGTTTTAACAAAACACTCCGGTACTGTTTACTTTTAACAAAAAATTATATTTTTATATTTTCCTGATACTATTTACTACCACATTTATTTGTTCTTTTTCATTAAAATTAAAAAATTTTAAATTTTTCGTTAGTTTTCTTTTATAATAAGGATAATATATGTGACTGCACAGGACAAGACTGCATCATCCACACATAAGCAAGTTGTCATTTCTTAATCAACGCCGGACAGCCTATCATAATCCCATCAATGATAAATAATCCCATCCGATTCCCCACCAAGTTTCTTTATCTATTTACTAACTTGCATAGTGGATTTTCAACTGAAAATTTAATGATTAACGATGCTTAACTAACCAAACCAACCAACGATGTGCACGTTACGCTAGCTACTAGTACTTAGTACTCATCAAATTCACGTTTGAATTTTAACATACACTTATCATATTGCGGTTTGCATAGGTTATACTGTACGACTTGGAAAATGTCTACCTTTTAGGTTGAAGAATAGACTTTTGTTATGATGCGATATGATTAGAGGTGTAAAATAAGTCAAATTGGCATGAACATAACATAGAACTGACCATAATGTTACTTTGTGGGCATGACTAGGAGTCGAACCATGAAAATTTTCTCAAAATTCTAAGATTGTATTGAACCATCCATAGGGTTTGTAATTAATTTACTCATGATCTAGCTTTGATCAAACACGAGGGAGGGTGGTGATGTTGACTAGTCTTCAAATTAAGTGGTCTAATTCGATATTTCGTGCCAGCCCACAAAGCCTTGGATATGATCTTGTAAGCATGCTCAGATGGATGGAAGAAATCCCAGAGCAAAAATTCATTGGGCCTTGAACAAATTGTGTAGCCCTCCTTCCCGCACTGAAGCAATCCTCCTAGAGTCCCTTCCCCACAGCATGCACTAGACACGTCCGAAAAGCCTACACAGAAAAATAATCACACAGATCGATCAGTTAATTAGCATGTCAATTTGTGCTTAATCTGATAACATTAGCCAGGCAGCTCGAGCGCTATTATATGTATCTATATGAAAATTTTCATACGGTAACGTGTGGGAGTGGCTCGAAATTGGTGAACAATGTCATAAAGTGCGCCATAAACAGTGACGTCGGGGTAATTAACAGGCATTTGATTGACCAAGCTTTCTAGTCCCTTATTGTATTTTTTGACCATCGCATTCATCTTCCCGTAACATCGATCAATGGGTGCACCAGACAGGAGGACTCCGCCGAGACCACACCCCAACGGGGCCAAATTAGAACACTGAAATCCGGCGAGCACCAAGTTTGTAGATTTGGTCAAGGAATTTTGTGACTTGGGTTAGCATGGCTTGCACATAAGCATCCGGGTCAAGTATTGGAGGGCTAAACGGGAGAAAGTAGTCGAAGATGTGTTGGAACTTGTGTTTTCTGTGGGACTTGGAGTCCCACATCGCCCAACCACAATTCTTATTAAGTCTTTATAAGTGAGTTCACTCACTTATGGTTTGAAAAGAATTGGGCCAAAGCTATGGACCTTGGGGTCTTAGAATTGGAGAGTTTGGGTGTATATATTAAATGTCAAAAATGGGCTTTGGGGCTCGGATGGACGAAAAACACCAGTTACGTTTTTGATTTTTTGGATTCAGTTTTTTCCGATTGAACAGTTACGTTCAGTTTTTATTGAACAGTTGCATTCGGTTTTCTTTTTACAAAAAACTGATAAGCCAAAACGGTTGGAAAAGTTCGAATTATGCCATTATATATATGGCGATAAAAACCAGAAACTAGTAACAAGTTTTTCCAGATTCATTCCTTCATATTCCGCTGAGAACCACACAACCAATTCGCTAAGAATCCAAGTTCGAGTGCAAGAACTTGGATTAGATAGTTGTATCCTGCAAGATAGACGTCCATCGAACTGCTGCACAAGTGTAGGGACGAGTTTCTATCTTAGGAGATTGCTCTGCAAGCCTCTATCGTCAAAGAACAAGTCAGTGATTTGTGTTTCTATATATAATTACACTAAGTGTTTATATTTTAATATATTGTGTTTGTTGTTGCGTTTTATCATTTGTAATAAAACTGTGCAAATTTGTTGTATAATACATACTTAACATTTGATTGTTTCTAACAAGATGTCGTTGGAACTGGACTCGAAGAAGAAGATGGAGTTTTGGATTAGATTTTTGTCGATGTGGTTTTGCTCCACCAAGGTTTGGAATTGTTGCAAATGTTCCTGGAGCGAGGTCACTCCCTGTATGGCATCCATGAGATTAATTAGTCTGTGACTATTCTCATTTAGTCTCATTTATGTTGTCAAACAGTGAATCTGAATGATTAATTAGATTGGTTTGTTTTGCTATAAAGTTAATCGAGACAGTACTTATGGTTTTCTTACCAAATCTTGATTTGTTGCTTGCAAAACACCACTGCCAGCACTGGCAAAGTTAAGGCCATTGGAGGGATAATCTTTGCGGCTTCCATTGAGAACTTCAATGTTTCTTTTTCGTCCTAGCTTGTGTTTATGCAAAGAATAGATTCATACCTGAAGATGCCATCACAACTGAGAATCAAAGAAAAATTTTCTGCTCACTACGAACTTTATGCTCTCACTAATATAGGGCTAGTATATTTTGGAACGTATTTTTCTCATGAGCTGGAACCACTATTTATGCAGACGCTAAAACAAAACTGTCTACCACCACCACCACCAGTAGTCAGTAAATAAAGCATCTCAACTTCATAGACTTGGAGTTTATCCACCACTCTAATGTTAATGTCTTACTTTAAAGAAATTAAGTTGATTGAAATACTGGCTCTCTAATTGATTATTATTGTAATGTGACAATTAATCCTTATCATGATTAGTAGAGTCCAAACAAAGTTCCAACACATACATCCTATGTGAATTTTGAGAAGCCTTTTGTTTGACGAAAATTCCACGATATATGTTTATTGAAATTCACAAAACTGACAACAAAACAGTAAGTAAAATTGTAAAAGTTAGAAAGGGATCCTCTCCGGATTCCTTCCACCAAGATCCCAAATTTGAGTCTTTAAAATTGGATCTAACGGCTACAAACAGGATTCACTTTAAAAGTTAGAATAACTTTAGCCATTGGATCAAATTTTAAAGACCTGGATTTGTGACCTTGGTGGAAGGGATCCGGAGAGGATCCCTTTTCGTAAAAGTTTTCCTGAAAAATGTGATAGTTGGGTTTTTAAATACGGATGAGGATCCTCTTCAAATCCACTTTGTGAGGATCCTAGGAATTCTCACATCCTAACCGTTTATCATATATCGTGCGGTCAGTTTTCGTTAGATACTATTTTTGTTTAATTTTAAGAAAAAAAAATTAAGTGATTTTTTATTGTACGATACACGATGAATGACTAAGATGTGGAGATTCTAAAATGGATCCGGATGGTATCCAATTGCTTTTAATACCTTTTGCCCCCACAAAATGGATCCGGATGGTATCCAATTGCTTTTAATACATTTTGGTTGTGCAGTAAGAAATATTTTATAATCCATTTGATTTGATGTTGTCATTTACTGCCACGCATAGATATTCTTTATTGAAATTTTCAGTTTTTTTTCTTAGTACAACAAATATATTTACGTAAAGAGGAGTAAGGAATTTAGTTAAGTTACACACTGGACAACCTTGTTTGGTATTGAATTCGTCATGCACTAGATTCAAATATAAGACCTCTCACGTACAAGTGAAGAAGAATACTACCAGACCGTAGTATTGAATGGTTAAAAAAACAAACTAGAGTGGCCTGAAAGGTAGCCAAAACGGATTTCCGACGGCTAAAACATCTTCAAAGTGTCTTGAGAAGCTTTTGAAGCGGCAAAAGTTCCATAAAATAGGTTTAACCCACGGTTCATGTAAGCGAAATTTCAAACTAGTATTGCCTACAAATCATAAATGGGCCTCATTTCCATTTCTGTGGACATCGGTCCAGTTGAGGTAATAGTGCAGCCCAACTTCAAAGTCAGGGCAAGTCTGTCAAATCTGGCCCAAATCATACGACCCGGGTCACCGTATAATTTAGCTTCAATGTTTGGGGCAGACGAAAACGACGCGTTTCGAACCATTTGTTTCCCTGTCTCCCTTTGTCGTTGTCCTTTCTCGTTCTCACAGTTGGCTCTGCGTGCGACTGTTTCTGAGCGATGAGCAGTCGAGCAGTGGAAGACGACGCACTGGCCAAAGCCGCAAGAGCTGCCGAAGCTCTTTACCTCCTCCGAGACACCTACTTTCCGGCCGACCCGGATGACAAAATCACCAGATTAAACGCCGATTCCGATCTTGCCCTCAACCTCCTCGATTCCATTCCTCTTGGTAATTTTTCCATTTACCCATTTCGTTTTTAATCTCTGTTACTTCCATTTGAAGCTGACCTAGTGCCCTTTGATTATAAACCCGATCTGTGCCTTTCTCTTTTGTGGGTTTTCGTTGATATGCTCGTTTCAACTTTGAAGTTCCAATTTTGGACTACATTGGTTCACATAGAAGCTTAAAATTTGAGAAATAGACTAAATAGTTGATGAATTCGAAATCTCCCCCTGATAAAAGTGTTGTTTCTGTAATGCCTACATTGGTTCTCGAATCGCTGTCACTGCTAATTCCTTTGTTATTATGTTGCATTTGTATTTATATCTTATTAGTTCAAGTTTCAACACGTGTGTCTTTTACCAGAGCAAAGAAAACATCCGGCTCAACGTGCGAAATACGAATATCTGAGAGGAAAGATACTGGATGTTTTACCGAATTATAGAAAGGAAGCAGAGGATCATCTCTCAAAAGCTGTAAGAATGCATTGTGACTTCCTGTAGTTGAGCATGTTTGTAATGCTTTCAGTTCACTTCCTGAAATAGATTAAACGACGATGCAGGTTAAGTTGAATCCATCTCTTGCAGATGCTTGGCTATGTTTAGGTAACTGCATTTGGAAGAAGGGAGATCTATCTTCAGCCAAGAACTGCTTTAATCTTGCCCTAAGCAAGGTTATTCTTGATTAGATTTTTGTAGTTTTATTGCAGTGACCTCTCAATTCATTGTACTATAAGATTTATGATTGATATGTGCATTGCGTTTGGAGGCAGGGTCCAAACAGGCAGATACTTTGTCAACTTTCGATGCTTGAAAGAAAAATGGCTCAAGGCAACCGTTTTGTCTACTCAACTTGTTTTTCCTGTTGTTTTTCATGATGTGTACGTCATTATGCTTACCTAATTTTCATCATTTTTCTAGGTACCGACAATGAGGCAGAACTTGTTGATGAAAGCATTCAACATGCCAAGGAAGCCATAACTCTTGATGTCAAGGATGGGAATTCATGGTGTAAGATCTCATAATCAACCATCTCAAAAAGTTCTATATTCTTCGGATTTGAGTAAGATTTATACTTGATAAGTTGTATAGCATGTAACACTGAGTTTGCTTTGCCATTTACCTTGGATGTTTGCTAGCCTTCTTCCAGTTAGCTTGATTTGACTGGTATCTTGTACATGCATAAATATTTTCTACTGATTCACTTAATCCCTTGTTTCATTTCTTTGGTTATTTTTTGGAGATCATTGCTTATTCTGTTTAACTGATTTTTTCTAACTTTATTGGCAGACAATCTTGGAAATGCATGTCTTACAAGTTTCTTTGTGACTGGAGCTTGGGACCATTCCAAACTTCTGCAATCTTTGAAGGCATACCAAAATGCTGTAAGTGCGTAAAGTAAGAACTTCTGCAGAGTCAGTTGTGTATGTGCTGTATTTCTTGTAAGTATGGATCTTCTGTCAGTTAGAAGATGTTCTAATGTTTTATGTTGCGTATCAGGAAAAGGATGAAAGAATGCAGTCCAATCCAGATCTATATTTTAACTGTGCCAGTGTAAGCTCAGTTTTTCTTGTGTTTTGTCCGGAATTAGTACTCATAAGTTTCTCAAGTAGATGATGATTCGTCAATCTTTCCTTTTTATGAATCAGCATCTAGATAGGTTAAAGATGGAGTTGTACTAATACAAGTGCAGAGAATAGGAAACAGTAATGATAAATTGTATATTATTTTCTGTTTTTGTTAAGTAAAGAGGAGGATGTATGAAGTGACATAAGTTGCATGAGTCTTAGAAAGACATGCTGCCATCTGATTGGGTCCTTAGTACTGCTCAATATCTCATGTTTTATACAATTGTAAGATTAAGTTTCTGGATTCAGGTAAACAGATATCTGGAAAACTATGAAAGGGCCCTTTCTGGATTTGAAGCTGCTGCTTTAAAGGATCCTGGTCTCAATGCTACAGAGGAGGTTCAAAAGATTGTTAGCCTTCTTGACAAGCTGGATAATCTGTTAAGGGTAATGCATTTCTCGTTATAAATGTGGTATTTCGGTGTCTTCAATGTTGAGATTAAGTTGGAAATGGGAACTAAGCACACTTAAATATCTATGTAATGTTGTGCGTGAAATTAAGTACTTAAAGGAGCACAGGGTAAGGATATCGTACAGCAAACGGTTTTTAGATCAATATGATATGTGCCGGTTCTCGACCTTATGATTTTTGTTTTGCAGGGGTATGCTAGATCTAAACGACTTCTGTCATTAGCATCATCTCTGGCTGCTGTAAACTGTATGCTTCATTATTCTTTCATGTATTTTGGATTATGATGATTTGTAATTTTCAGTGAGCCTGCCTCGTTGCTCTTTCTTTCCCACAGGAATATATTGATTTTCTTTTTTTGCATCTTCTATTAGTGAACTCCTCATATCGAAGAGCTACTGTAGATATTCTATCAGAGGGTCTGAACAAATCAGTAGCACTAGTGGGAAAAGTGCTATTCTTTATTAAGCATGACAACGTTGCTCCACTGTAAGTCCTCTGCAAAGCACCTTTCTTTTACATCTTCTGTCACTAATATGTAGAACTAAGTCGTCGTGAAACTTGAAGTGATTAGAAATATAAACTTGCTCTTGTGTGTGAGAGAGTTTGCTGGGCGCTCAGTGCATTTGAATTGTCAGTGCTTTTGCTTTGTTCATGACTTTTTCATCCTTTCATCTTCTTTATTAGGTACTACTTGGCATGCGATTCAAATCAAATATGCTTTGTTGTGTCAGTTTATGGCATTCAATATGATTCGGTAAGACTTGGCAGCCTAAGAATAAAATGAGAAATAGAAACCATGTACTTTCTTTACATCCCAAATACGGATTGGTTTGACCCTTATGTATATTGAGCAACTATGTTATCGTCCCTCACCAATTCAAGTGATTAACTGTCAAACTGTTACCTCGTTCTCACAGATCAAAGAAGGAGATCAGCTAACAATACTGGAACCTTTTCATCGGCGTTTCAAGTTTTCTTGGAAAGAAAAGGTACTCGTTTCACATAATTTAGACGTTCTTTATTTTCATTAGTTATAATAAAAAGAGCTTTTAATTAGAATTCTCCAGATAATCTTATTCTTGGAACGTAAGATTGTTGATTTTTATGAACAGCAGTAACAATTATTTACTCTCTTTATTGAGTAACCAATGAATATAACGATTTTTTATTAATTTTGTTTTTCGGTTCCCATTATTGGCAGTTGTACGAGTTCAAATCATTTCGTGTGGATTTCATAGAACAGTTGCTTGTGAACGGAAAGGCCCTTACTCCTCACCAAGCTGTCCGTACCTCAATTTATGCACAGCACAAACCATGAATGTATATAGTGGTTTCGAGTGAAATATTTGCGAGTATTTACTTTTGCTCAGGTTTTGTTTGTCTGCCCTTGAGTTTTTATGCTGTATTCTTCGTGAATAGATTTAGGGAATGAAGAAAGCAAAGCTAGACGGGGCCCAAGTTGTTGCCCAAGTGAAATGCCATCATTGCAGTGAACAGAGATGTACTACATTTTAACGGATTTTTCTTTTGGCCGTATATTTGGATGGATACTGTTCATATAAAAAAATTCGCCTTTTTATATTTTACGGTCGTATAATTTTTAGGGAAATAACAAAAATAGAACAATTTCTTAATTTTGGAACAAAAATAGGATATTTAAAATATGCATACATCATGCACAACAATCGAACATAATAGGATTTTTTACACCTTGAAATGACTTAATTGCTCTCATATATAAATGGGTTATTTTCTTTCACTTTCTGATTTCCATCTCACTCTACTCTCTCTTCCTCCCTCCCTCTCTCCTCTGTCTCTCTCTCCCTCTCGCACTCTTTCTCCCCTTCTCACTATACAAAGTTTGGCCTATTTTTGTCCCAAGATTAAGAAATTGTCCCAATTTTAGGGTATTTCCCTAATTTTTAAGTGTATGAAACAACAAACTAGCATTACGGAGGTCTCAAGTTCGACTTCAACTTAAAGTCATGGTGATGATAAATCTCATACCTCATTGATAGACAGTTCAACATTTAACAGAAAATTTGACAAACTGACGAAGTTCTGACGTTGCAAAACTTTGTAAGATAAGGTATGACATTACAATGTTTTAAATATGATGTATGATATTGTGGTAGTTGAGGTAGTTTTGTGTTGTATCCATTTAATTATGATAAATGAGATTGTTGTAGATTGGGGTTCCTATAGCACATATGTAAACGAATCAAAACGGGCCTTGGCCAAAGTCACTTGGATCCATAGAATAAAAGCTTGCTATCACAAAAGAAATTTTTATTGGTACTTTAAAATTTTCATTTTGTGTCCTAAATTTTCTATATTTATAGAGAAAATACACTTATGAAGAGTACAAATTGAATGAAATTTTTACAGTGCTAATAATAATTCCGTTTACTCAAAGAACGAGGCCTCGACAATGAGTTTATTCAAAAGACTAATCCAACTAGCCTGCCCACTTTCAAATTGCCCTTTGAATGTAGGAGAAATTAGGTTCTAATCCCTCTTTCTTTCATTGTATTGATTAAAACCTTATTTCTTTTTAATTTTTGATCAAGGTCCCTACCTTTTAATGAACGTCATTATTTCAATTATATTTACATACCAACATAATGAAATTTTATTTCTAAAATTAATATATTCATTTAGTGTTAGAAACTTTACATTTGATATATTTATATTTATGGTTAAACTTTGTATTATATATTTCTATTTTTAGTTTGTATCATTTTTAATTTTCAACTCTTTTTAATTTGTACCAAGTTTCTTTTTAGTTTTAATTTGTACCCATATATTAATTTCATCTTGTGCACATATTTTTAAATTTTTTATACTCATAATTTATTTATAATGTCCCCATTTTTCTTTATAAACGTACCACTTTGTTATACGCAGAAGCTCTTCCGCTCTTCGTACCAAAAAGTTGCTTCCAAGCACACACCACGCGTAGATGCTGTCCATGTCAAAAGCTCACCGGGTTTTCTCAAGACCGAGGCTCTAGTTCAACACACACAGATAATGGATTCAATGGTTCAACAACATTTGAAGCTTCACTGGGATGGAAAAAGCAGTGTTGAGGTTTATGACCTGGCTCAGCTACTTGTCACGACTCTATCGGCTCGATTCTTCACTGGACTCGAGAACGATCCGGAGAGGACCGCAAAGTTTGCCAAATTCTACAATGTTATCACCTCAGGGCTGCATACAATTCCCCTGAATGTTCCGGGAACCGCGTTTCATCGTGCGATGAAAGCAGCAAATGCTATGAGGAAGGAGGTCTTGCTGTTGGTTATGGAGAAGAAAGCAGCTGTGTCCAGTAGTACTAGTGAGATCAAAATAAATGATATCATGTCTCACCTGCTGTTTAATCCCGATCCCCGCGGCCAGTTCATGACGGAAAATGAAGTTGCTGACAGAGTTATGGGTTTGATGGCGGGTGGATTTCACTCACCTTCCATGGCTACAACTTTCCTTATCAAATTTCTTGGAGAAAGACCTGACATCTGTGACAAAGTCCGAACAGGTAAGGAGGAAAGCAAAATGACTTTTTTGTAGTACTAATAATGATTCATTCTATTAAACTGCTACCATCTCAGTTATTTAACCATTTAATATTCACCGATTATTTGGTGATTACTGTCTTAATTTTAAACCGTGCAGAACAACTGGAGATTGCAGGGTCGAAAAAATTAGGGGAGGCCCTTAACTGGGAAGACATACAGAAGATGAAATATTCATGGAGTGTGGCACTTGAAGTGATGAGGCTGGTGCCGCCTCTTCAAGGAACATTCAGAGAGGTTGTCACTGACTTCACCTATGAAGGTTATACAATTCCAAAAGGCTGGAAGGTGTACTGGTCAGCAAGCAGCACCAATAAAAATCCCGAGAATTTTGCTGCGCCGGAAGAATTTGACCCGAGCAGATTTGAGAACGGAAATACTCCACCACCATACTCTAACATCCCGTTTGGCAGCGGTCCTCGAATTTGTCCCGGAATAGGATATGCTAGACTCCAACTTCTCCGTTTCCTCCATCACGTCGTGACACGGTATAAGTGGGAAGTGTTAAATACAAGCGCCAAGATTGCCGGCGGCCTGAATCCGGTACCAGAAGGAGGCGTTCACATTCGCCTCCATCCTTATACGGCATGAGGATCCTGACTCGTCAATGCATGTTCTTCCTTCCTTATTGCACATGCAATATATTCTTGTACTAGTTATTATGCAAGCATTATCTAATAAGTGAAGGAGGTGGGCCGGGGGCTCCCCGAAGTAATAGTCTTGGGGAAGGGTGAGTTCGGACTAATGGGGTCTACAAAAATGTTTGATATGTTTCCAATTGTCTGTATATAAAAAAAAAAAAATTCTTTCTTTTTCCAGCACTCCATGTGGCCGAGTTCAAATTTTATGTACTCATTTTGTTTATGATGTCTATGTAGTCTCTATTACTAATTGTTACGTGTTAATAAATTTAATTATTTCTTAATTTTGTTGTCATAAACTTAATGCGTGTCGATCAATAATAGAGGTCACAAAGAGGCTATACACAAAATAAGTGCATCCCATTCGGTAGATGTCCTCGAATTTGTACTCTTCCGGATCAGGAAAGTATTCGGGGATTTTGTTGGTGCTGCTTGCCGACCAATACACCTACAAAATTTAACCTTATCAATTAAGAAACACAAACTAATAAATTAAACAACTGGACTGTAATTATATGATTAACCTGATTAAGTACTATATTAATTACCTTCCAGTCGGGTCCGGGTTAAATAGTATGAAAGACAAGATGTCATGCATTTGGACTCCTCTGGAAGCAGCCGCTTTCTTCTCCTTAATCAGCAACAAAACCTCCTTCCTCATTGTGTTCGCCGCCTCCAGCATCTATCTTCTTAAAAAAAAAAAAAAAAAAAAAAGTTACATATGAACACAATGGAGGCTCTCTTCCTTCCTTTCTCTACAACATACATTCCCATGTTATTATTATTACTCAATGCTCTTGCTTTCATCGTTTATGCATTCAAGTTTAAACCTTCCAAAACTAAACCTCCACCGGGTAGTTTTGGGTGGCCGATTATAGGCGAAGCAATCGCCTTCATGAACGAGATGCAACAAACGTTTGTGGGAGAGAGAATGAAAAAAACACTCCACAAAGCTCTTCTAAACCAGCATATTCGGTGAGCGGATGGTTGTTTTATGCTGCACTGCCGGTCACAAGTTCATTGCCACCACCGAGGAAAAGCTTTTAGGTAGGAAGAGCGGCACTTCCGCATAAAAGCTTTTCCTCGTTGGTGGCAATGAACTTGTGACCGGCAGTGCCGCACAAAACAACCATCTGCTCGCCGAATATATATGCTGGTTTTGAAGAGCTTTGTGGAGTGTTTTTTCATTCTTTCTCCCACAAACGTTTGTTGCATCTCGTTCATGAAGGCGGTTGTTTCGCCTATAATCGGCCGTCCTAAACTACCCCGTGGAAGTTTAGTTTTGGAAGATTCAAACTTGCATAGACGATGAGAGCAAGAGCATTGAGTAATAATTATAACATGGGAATGTATGTTGTAGAGAAAGGAAGGAAGAGATTCTCCATTGTGTTCATATATAACTCTTTTTTTTTGAGAAGATTAATGCTTGTATGGCATGGAGGCTGCCAAGCTTCCCCTTACATATATAGGCGTTGTATTTTTACTTCGCGTCCACACTTGGGCGAACCTTAACCAACCATTAATTTTGGGATTTAATTACCAAAGATGCTATTCTTACCCAGTGTTCAAAATATTCACAAAATTGATGATGTTTCGGTAGAATTATCCGAAAAAATAAGGATCAATATAAGAAAGGGGATTAATGCAAACTTCAACCGGCGAAATATAAGAAAATCAATGAATATTTATAAATTTACCGGTTCATTAAAGAAAATTTGCCGAAACGCATGGTATCTGTTTTTTCATTTACGAATTTCAATCTAGAACCTCTCACTTACAAATGAAAGATAAATATTATTAGAACATAGTACCAAATAACCTCACACTGACTTAAAATAATTTGTTATGAATAGCTTTTAATATAATTTTATTTTATAATTAAGAGGTAATTTTTCGATCATGTAAGTGTGACCCACTAGTTGCTCCCTTATTTCTCTCATTTCCCATTTAGTGCTTGTCCTTTAATCGTATGAAAAACTAAAGTAGTATTGCACCTGGTGAAGGTAGCTTGCCCATTGTCATCAGTTTCTCCAGAGAAAAACCTGATGAGAAGATTCCTGTCGGCAATGGAGAGAGGACGAGTGCGTTGATATCACCGTAACGTTTGTGTCAAACTATGGCATGTATAAAAAAATTTTAAGATGTCGATATATTATTGACACAAGACGTTCCAATAACAATGTTCGTACTTGCACTAAGTGATTCTTCCCCTCTCCTTGTACTCATCTTACTTAGCATGTGATAAACTTTATAGGCTAAATATGGTCTATCACTAATATCATCAATATTGTTTTAACTTAACCCCCTATTTGCTAGGTGTTGAATTTTATCACAAAAGATCTCGATGATATTAAAAGTGAAAAGTCCCGTATATTAATCGTATAATATGCTACATGTCTCACGTACAATTTCGCATGCCGGGCAGCCACCAAGAAGCAAACAAGAAGCAATCAGACACTTCACTCCGACTCCATAAAAATTGTGTGTATTACAAGATAACCTTGACAAAATCTGGTCCATAAATATTTCAAATACATGAATTCATTATTTTCTATACTTCTACATATATCAAAATATGCTCAGGCTATACACTGAAAAATAAAATGTCTGAACGAGATGTGCACTTCACACGAAAGCGTCAAGTAAAACCACCAGTCACCTCGAAATATTCCGACGACTACATCTTCATTCTACCGAGAATTCATTAAAATGAAAAAATTCACAACACTATTGTTGGCTATAGTAACCACCCTGTTGCGGAGGACGGTATTGACCTGGAATGGTGTAAGGAGGTCGAGGGTGCGATCCAGGTTGTTGTGCATGGGTATTGTAGTATGGACCCCTCCACCCTGGATATGCAGGTTGACCATAGTCATGGTTTGCAGGTGGCTGTTGCTGGGTGTGTGGAGGTGGGTACGGACTACCAGCTTGAGGAGGTGGGTATGGACTACCAGCTTGAGGAGCGTATGGACTACTAGGTTGAGGTGGCACATGGTAAGGAGATGGCATCTGCTGTGTTGAGCCATAGGGGGGAGGGTGAGAATATCCAGCCATTGCTGGCTGCTCAGGAGGATGGTAGTACGGTGATGTTTGAGGACGAGGATCTGTTGGCTGTTGTGAACCAGATCTCTGAGCTTGATGTCCCACAGAAGGATAGTTTGTCGTATGCACCTGTGGTTTTAGTATCCTGGAAACTGAGGCCTGCCATTTGTTTGTGCACATCTTCAATCATTTCCTTGCACTGGATGTTTCTAGTCATCACAAAGTCACTGCACTGCTGCTTTACATTCGTTATTGCATCCTGTTGAAAATGGACAAAGCAATCAACCACTGGAACACGGAACATGAAGTCACGGAAATAAATTCTCAAATACAACCGTGTGAAGATTGATAGCATGCTGTCACAACAGACACCGGAAAAGATCCAACCATAAAAATGAAAATAGTGCGCTCAAATAGTTATAAAGTAAGTGCACACTATTGAAATTACCTGAAGAGTAACATAGAACTTTAACCCCTCATTTATGTTCTCCTTAATTTCGCGGAACTTTGCTATGGCAGCTTGAATCTGCTTGTAACATTTCTCACGAGATGCTGGGACAAAATGAGAAGGAAACAAACAGGAAAAAGACAAGAATACACTCCACTTTAATTATGATATGCAAAAAGATGGCATCACAAAATAAAGGAAATAGATTTTATGTCGTGAGACAGTCGGAGGACTTCCCCAAAAGCATTTAACATGGTCATTAAGGGGTAGGATAATACAACCAATGAACATCTATGATTAAATAATGCATCAAAAGATGCTACCTTAAAGTATACAAACCATTTATGAAAAATAGCCCACTCCATAAAAGACCTACCTTTATAATCTTCTAGATTGAAGATTGCAGCAAATTCATCATTTTGGGCCTGCAGATGACAAACACACATTTTGAAAATGAGATATTTAAGCGCTAAGATCCATTTCCATTTATTTAGGAATATTATACAAGGAAAGGAATTTCAAAACTCATAGCAAATAATATGGATGAATTTTCAATACATGAAATGACAGACAGGCGACAGCTCACTGGTAAGCAAACTGGCTTGATTTGACAAAGGCATTTCATTTTTTTTTTTTTTTTTAAGAAAAGAATAACAGGGTAGTAGTATAAAATATATTTTCTCAGCAGAGCTTCCAATTGGTACGTTGATTACCAATTGGACACTCGAAACAGATGCTGGGGAAAAAAGAGGGAAATTGAAGAAATATGCATAAAGAAAGTCCAACAAAGATTAGAAAAGAAACGGACCTGGATTTGCAGCAATAATTGTTCTTGTGCCTCAATATTATGGGCAATGTCTTCACTTATATTATCATATTTAGATATCTCCTTCCTGAAAAGATCCTCATAGGAGCCGGTTGACGTCATCAACTTAGGAAGTATATCATCCTGAGGCCACATAAAAATAATAAGTACACAAAGCACTAAACTTAAGAACCAAGGCATCATTAACAATTGACAAAGCTGATCATGAATTGCTGATTGAACAAAAAAAATTTCTCAAAAAGTTGCATCCAATATCAAATAATCAACGTACCTTTCTTTTCATCTCTTTAAGCATGTCTTCAAGACCAGCTCGTTGAGCACCAAGGGTTTCCAGTTGCCTCTGCATTGAGTACAGAAAGTTAAAAATGCAAAAATAACAAAACTAGTAATGGCCAAACCACTCATGTTAGAAGTTTAGAAAACAAGTTTAATCTATTCTCCAGTACAATGCAACAGGAAAACCAGGTCTGAGTTTATACATATATACGCGCGTGTGTGTTGGGAGAGTACTTCATACGAGTAATCAAATTCACACCGCACACACATATGAAACTAACATTATAAAATTGATACAACAATATGCCTACATTCAGATAAATATAAGATGAACCACTACACTGTCATGGGGTTATAATCGTTTTCTTTCAAATATTAAACTGATCCAAAAGCAATATATCACTTGCATCAACTAAGTAATCAGGACAAATTTCACCACAATCAGACAGAGAGAAAAGAAAAGGCGCATCATAAGACATAAATCCATAAAACAGACAGGAACAACCATACGAGTTATCATGCAACCTTTATACAGACGAAGTAAAAAGGGGAGAAAAACTTACCAAGCTCTGCTTCAGGGCCCCCAAAATAGCATCTTCACTGGCATCCAAAGACATTATTGGCCTAGCCAGAGTTGGAAGGGCAGATTCAATCTGTGAGAAGAAAGAACATAAAACCATTTAGAAAGCCACGACACCGACATACAGGAGATACATGATTCAAATATACTAAGCCGGATTAACTTATGAACTTCCAGAGAGAGAGGGACAGGAGGAACATAATTAGGAGAACAAATAAGGAGCATGTCAATATGAAAGACTAAACATATTAAAATGAGAGGAGAAGAATAAATCAATGAAATCAAACAATTGTTGGTGGATTGGGTTGTATTATTAACATTGGTTAAGAAACGAGGACAAACGAAAAACAAAAACACTTCCACCTATGATGGACAAACGTTCCATGTGCATATAAATTTTATTAAAATGAAAAAGAATATAAAATCCAAAATGAAATAAAGGAATTAAGACATATAAGAAGACACTTGGGAAACATGAAGAAGAAGAAGAGTTCCAAGAGAATTACTGGACGACGATCAAGGATTGACATGAGAGCTGAATGTTCTCGGACCGAGCGCTCAATCCGAGCATCACTATCTGCAGCTTGCTTCAAGTTGCCTGCAAACCTATTTAGCCTATCCTGTAAGTTCTTTGTCAGGGTACTTGACTGCGGCCTCGTCCACCGTGTTCCAAATTGGCTTCTAAACTGAGCATCTTCTCTGGCCTCTTTCTGCAAGAGTTCCTCAATATGTATCAAAATTTCCTGGTTTACCCTTTTCAAATCCCTAAGCTGCTGTAACTCAGCTTCCAAACCAGCAGGGCCTCCACATATCTGCACTGCCTCCACATCTTCTTTAAGATCTGTAGGAAGAGTAAAATTCCCTTCCAAGGCAAGAATAGACTCTGGTAGGTCCATTTCCTTGAGCCTTACTCTGGTCAGTTCACTGGCTTGTTGTAACTTTTCTGCTTGTGTTCTGATAATGTCATCAACCATTTCAGTGTACCTGGAAAGAGCTTTTGCACTACTGTCTGGAACAAGACTGGCAAACATCTTCTCCTTGCTTGCATCCAGGACCTCGCTCATTGCCAAAGGCTTCACCATAGAAAATGCCGGAACAGGTGGTAAGGAACCAGGGGAAGGAACTCTCATGAGATAAACTCTATCATTCTCCTTCACAGCCCTCTCCAGGTTACGGTTCAGATTGACCTCTAACTTGCTAATTGCGTCCAGAATCTGTGCAGCAGCCCCCTTTGTGTTTTTCTTAGCCTCAGACAAAGCACTGATCCCACTCTTTAACCGTGCAATTTCTTCTGCAATCTCTTCTTTCTCATGCAACTCTAGACCATACCTATAGCAAGCTTCTGCATAAAAGAGAGCTGCCTTTAACTGCATGTGTGATATCCAGGCCCTGTCAAAATGCTGGTTCAAGGGCGGAGCATTACATGTCGCTAAAGCTTCCTCGTAATACAGCCCAACCTGTAACCACATCAGTGTCAAATCAATTCAATACAAAATCAAGTGGGTCACTAAAACCTGTATGGAAACATTATTTCTCCATTCAAGGAAAACCCGAAAACACGGTAGTCCAGAGGCAACTAAAAGTTACGATTCTGAGAGTATTAATCAAACATAGTCTTTGGTGCAATATAATTTATATGGTATTTGTTGAAAGCGAGGTAAAATCCCAAACTTGCAAACAGAATACCGAAAGCAATCAGCTTTCCAACAGCCATACGATCCATTCTCCTCTCTGCTACCACAACTTATAAAAAAAATGACAAAATTAACATTTGCATAGCAGAATCACTTCACTCAAACACACCCACATTTGCAGTTCAATCAATCAATCAATATTAAGTTCTACCTACACTATTAAAACCCAATCTGTAATCAATCAAACAAGCACAATACAATCCTCACCTGCCTCGAGATCTTGGCGCAAACACCCGGCGTGCTCCCTTTGGCAATCGTATTCTCAAAGACGCACTCTTGGGCCTGAGCCAGCATCAGCCTCTCCAGCATCCCAGCGCACTCCACCGACAAATCCACCGTCGTGGAGCTCCCAATCGACGCCTTGGTCGCCGCATTGTCCCTCAGAAATGCGAATGCCCCAGCCGCCGCAATAAACGCGTGCGACGCCTGCCGTCGACCGTCGACGGTCGCGCGATCGTAGGAGAGCCCAATCTGACTGTACACGGCCCCCAAATTGAACAAAACGGCGGCCTTTTCCAGGTGGATGTTCTGCTGGGAAGCCTTCTGCTTGTTCTTGAAGGTGTCGTGCCAGACGAAGATGACGTTGTTGATGTGATCCTTGTCCGGCGAGATGGGGAAGCGTGTCTCGACGAGGCAGAGGGCTTTAAAGTAATTTTGGAGGAGGTCGCGGCGGGTGGTGAGAGATGGGTCGGGTTGGCGCTCGACGTCGGAGCGAAGCTGTTTGACGGTTTGGAGGTCGTCTTCGAGGTTCTGGGCTTCGCGCTCGGAGTAGTTGAAGGCGATGTAATTGCGGAGGGGGCGGTAGAGGTCGATTTGGGTCGTCTTCTTCTCGAAGATTGCGAGCATGACGTTGGTGGCGGTGCCGGAGGCGGAAGACGCCATCTTTGGGTTTTGGATTTGATCGGAATCGAAATTCTAAGAAAAAAAATTGAAGAAGAAGAAGAGAGAGTTGGAGTTTCAACGAGTGAAATTGACCAGGTCAGTCTGCCTTGTGCCGAGTTGTTTTTCTTTTTCTTCCTCACAAAGCAAACTAGAAATATAGAAATTTCCTTACCGGTGTTTTTTGGTTGGGAGCTAATTACAAATTCGTATTTCACACATTATATTTTAGGTTCAATTTTCATACCAAACATAATGGGCAACTTAATCGAACTCGTTATTTACGAAATTCAAACATTATATTTTAGGTTCAATTTTTATACCACACACAATGGGCAATTTAATTGAATTTATCATTTATGAGATTCGAATATAAGATCTTACATTTGTAAATAAAAAATAATATTATCAAACCGTAATATTTAGTGGTAGCTATTTATGTTCCTTTATTTAGCAAGAAAGAGTGGGGCATTATAGTCCTTTTACCCGAGTGATGTGATGTGTGCGTCCCTCTCTATTTATACACCCCCAATCAACAACGCCCAATGCGTAGACGCTTCTGGAAGGCTAAAAGTCAAGCCCTAGCTGTCTCTCTCTTCTTTCAGGTACGTTACTGCAGCTAATCCTATCAACTCGTTCAGTCAATTGTCAATTTAGGGTTTTTTTCTTTGGTGCATTGACTGCTTTGAACTGTTATCTGTCGTGAAATTTGGGGTTTTGATCCTAAAGTTTCTGTCTTTGAATGTTTAGCGGGTCTCTGGGTTTGAGATTTTTGTATTTAATTAATGATGAGGGAACTGTGTATATGTTCATTCTGGAGTTTCTGTTTGGTTACTGAGAAAAAGAAAACTTTAGTTAGCGAAAGTAAATTGCGCGCTCTTAAATGTTTCAATTCATCGTGATACGAAGCATAGAATTTTTTTATTTGGGTTTTTGTTATGTTGCGAAAATTAGATAACCGAAATTAGCCTCATGTCCATTTGTTCTCCAAAACCGTTGCTTCTTCCTTATACTGTAATGCATGTCTTTGTACATGAGTAGACTCTTGCCCAATTGGAATTACTCTAGACACCCGAAAATCTTATTTTCCACTCCTTTTTAGCATAACTCCGGAATTGAATGCCTATGAAATAAAACAATAGATTTTAGTGCATTTAACCCGTTCATATAGACAAAATCCAAAGAAAATATATGATAATAATATATGAAAATATAACCACATCAATTGAGTAACGGGTTTTTGACATTTGACAGATAGGCATTACCTTGCAGGGTGGTTTGGAAGAAGAGTTGCAGCTTTATGCTTTTGACGCTGGATTTTTGGTCTGTAGAGCTGTGGTTTGTTCCAGATAAGGTAAGAAATCCGAATTGAATTTCCGGAGTTCCGTTTCTTTTGTGATGTGAGAATTTTTTTTCTTTATGTTGTGGATGTTATCCTTGGTGGAATGGTTTTGTTTTGATTGTAAACTTGGGTCGCTAATGAGTTACAGATTAACCTGGTATAGGACTGATTCAGGATGTTTCGTTTGCCGGGTTTTGTGGAACACAATTCACTTTATTTGTTGGTTGGAATTTTTATATGGAAGGAGAACATTATGATTAGGATTTTTTTCTGTAAGCTCATTAGGTGATTAGCCGTATCGGATTGACATGCGTTTAGTATTTGTCTTCTTTATGTGTGATGCTAAGAAGTATGTAATTTGTGTTGGAACTAACATTTTTGTTTCTCTTCTTTGAGATGCACTTCCGGTCATCATTGTACCAACATGCAGATATTGTGCTGGTTTTTATATCTAAATGGACACCAGGAGGTTCATGCAGCTGGTTGAGGAGAAAAAGAAACGAGCTTTGGAGAAGAAAGAAGCCCCGCTGAAATGGGAGCGGAAACTAGAAGCTGCTGCTAAGGCAAAAGCTGATGCAGAAGCCAAGGAGAGGAAGTTGAAATCTTCGAAGCATAAGATATCTGTGTCACGGTCTGATAGCGATAGTGACACTGGCAGAAGTGATGAGAGAAGAAAGTCAATTAAAAGAACTCACAAGAAGCGCTCTCACTCTGGTGCAAGTGACAGTGAAGTGAGGAAGGAGAAGAAATCCAAGCGAAAGCTAAAGAAACATTCCTCGGGCTCAAGTGATGATAGCAGTGATGAGTATGAGAGTGATTACGAAGAAGATAGGAAGAGGAAGAAGAGAAGCCACAAAAAGCACAGGCATCATGATTCTGGATCAGATTCTGGTCCCGATTCTTCCAGTGATGATGATAATGATACGGTGAAGAGAAGTCATTCGAGGCACCACAAGCGCCATTAGAGGTCAGACTCAGAATCTTCTGGTTCTCATAGTGATGAGGACGAGAGAAGAATCCGAAGGGGTCATGCTAAGCACCACAAACGCCAGAGACATTTGAGATCCGTTTCCCCCGAGTCTAGTTACGAGGATGGTGAGGTTAGAAGGAAAAGGCATGCAAAACACCATCCACCTCATAGGCGATCACAATCGCGTTGTGTCGATTCGAGATCATCGGAGTCTGATTCCCACAAACGTGACGGAAGGAGCAGATCTCTGGGGAAGTCTTCGGATGACAACCGTGATGAGGCTGACAAACAGTTGAAGCACAAGAGAAGTCGCCAGCATTTCCATCATCATCACAAGCATAGTCACCACCATTCATAAGAGAGAAAAGATCACCATCCTCGGGGTTCAACTGAGCCCGACGGAAAGCACTTAGAAGATAGCCGAAGAAACGCAAGTGAATGACAGATCTCTAAGCATTGCATTCTCGGTTGCCTGCATTTGTACCTAAACTTTGCTTCTTCAATTCAGATGCGTTTCCCTTGCTTAACTTGTTCCGATTATGCATGATTGATTAGAGATACCGCAGCTAATACAGCAGCATTAGCGTCTTGTGACAGTCATTATTGTCTATTTACCGCTCACTCCGTTGATACGAAATTTGACTAAAAATAATGTACTTAAGAGTCGATTTTACAATTTAACTGCTGAGATAATTACCAGTTTGAAAATACAAATTACAAACATGCTTATATGTCAGAATCTCCCAAAATTGTTTTTATTATCGTTTTTCCAAGCTGGGACAATTTATCCTCAGCAGTGGGGAACAAATCAATACTGTTCACTCAGTAAAGATACAACAATGTAATTTTGATGGATTAGTCAGAAATTCTTCAGTATGTTTTCAGTTGATACACCATCTGCTACAAGAATTGAGGTAACCTCCTGCAAAGAAAAATCATCTTAAAAATGTCACGTCTGCGTAGAAATTTGATCGTGCTAGAAATAGAAGCGATGATGCTCATGTTAATAGCCAGAATTAGCATTCAAACTTTTCCACACAGACAGGCATCGCAGCTAAATGAAGTGGCAATTATTTGAAACATGAGACCCCTCCCTTGCTGGGGTTAGTCTTTTTATCTAAGATTTCTCTTTACGTGTAATTCGCCAAGGTAAGAAATATTCAGTAGGCAGTGGACCAAGTCTAGCCATCCCAGACAAGGGCAGACCACTTTTTGGTAACAAAGGGGGAAAAGAACCCTAAACAACTTAACTCAACTCACCATAACGCAACTTAGAAAGATGCAGGACATCAACCGTTAGAGCTACACCAATCCAAGGAGGACTATTGAACACATGGCAACCAGGCCATTTTATTATCACAAATGGTGACTAAATCTATTGCAGCGCAGAAGACGAAAGTCTTTTCAGTGAAGAAACATAAGATGAGAAACTTAGCAGCTGCCAATAGATGTACTATAGTGAAGGATGGCAATCCCACAGAAACTAGGACCAAAATTGGTTTCGTAATCAGCAAATGCTTCTAAGCAGATGAGATATAGTTAGACTGAGGACAAGCTCATATCTTTTTTTTTTGTTTAATTTTCACACACAAAAAAGGTGTCGAATACATTCATAAACAGATAGTGACCTCAACATCATCTACCGCAGAAATCTTCCCTTCAACATGCGCCTTACAGCTTTGCTTCTTTCAGTAAAATGGCTTGGTCCAAGACCATTAAAGTGTGTAGCATTTTCGGTTATCTTTACTACTTACACTGAGAGCACAATTCTTTTTTATGCGGAACCCTAGAGGCCAAATACAATCGGCCCTCCGGTGAAGACTATAATAGGTGGTCTTATAACAAATTATTTGCACCTAACTGTGGGCTAAACTAGTAAAGAAGACAATGGTAGCACCTTGTCTGGTGCAGATCAAGACTCAGAATATGATGTTGTCTTATATCAAAGTTATTTGTTCAACATTGAACATGGAAAAAGACACGAGGGATTCAGCCGGTCTGGCCATAACCAAACTTGTAAATTGACATTCAGCCGATTATAGTTTTCGTTACCATGTAGCCACGAGATCTAATATGAACCCAAAAGATGCTTAAGACAATATTCAATAGACAAGTACACACGTACTTGAAATATAACAATAACAAACGTAACGAATGCAAACTAATAAATGTAAATTGGACAGAAAGGATACCTCAGTCATCTGCTTCTGCCCACATAAAACAGCAGCTGTAGAGAGAGGGTTATCAATTTGCTTGGCTCTGGAAAAGGCAGCCTGAAAATGTATAACCACAGAAGGCATTAACTCCGTACGTAGAAGTGAATAAAACTTAGAGCGCATGGGGTGAAACCGTGAAGGTCTACCTGCACATAACCGCTTTGTCCGGTCCAACCGCCGTGCGGTTGTGATAATACTGGCACAATCTCAACACCTGAAGATTCCCAGTCCTTAAATCTATCCTGTGAGAAATTAGACAATCAAGTAGCGGAATTAATCAAAGTCATAAATTGAATTGGGGAAATAAAAATAAATAAACAGAGCAAATACCTGATACGCCATTCTGTCAAGGTTTCTAGCGCCGTAAAATAGCTTCACGGCGGATCTCTTATCGGCGCTAAACCCCGATTCGATCAGAGACCGGATTGGACTGCACATATTCAAGAGCTGCGTCATGTCAAATTGCTTGTAACACTATATTAAATTCACTTGAATTCGATTTTTTCTACTTTTACAAACCTGATTCCAGATCCCGTGGCGAAAATTAGAACCGTAGGGTAATTTTCCGGCGGTTCGATCCGTTCAATGTCGAAGCCTTTTCCCATGACCTGGCTGAGCTCCACCACGGCCCCTCTCTTGAGCCCGCACAGAAGCTCCGCCGTGGACCCGGCCACGCTCTTCACCAAAAACTCAAACACCCCTTTTGGGGACGCCAACGATGGTGGCGAGGCGATGGCCAGAAACGAGGGCTTCGACTCGTCCGGGACGCGAAGCTGGAGGTACTGGCCGGCTCGCGTGTGGGACGAGGCGAGGTCGGGGGCGTCGGATAGGTCGACGCGGACGTGGAAGAGAGACTCCGCGGCCGGTTCTATCTCGGAGAGCGGGGCAGGGGTCCAGAGGGCGGTGTCTTGGCGTACGGCGGCGGCGACGGTGGCGAAGCGGTGGCGGCGTAGTTTTAGGTGGTGGGGGTTGAGGCGGCGTAGGATAGACATGGGGTGGAGGGGGGAGCTAAGGTGCGCATGGGAGTGGACGGTGACCGACGCGGGTTGGAAGATTGTGAGTGACATGGCTGTTGGGTTTGGGCTTGAGACGGTTTTATGTTGTGGCCGGGGGTTGTGGGGGTGCGGAGGGCGGCGCCGAAGCTGGTGATCGATTAACACGAAGACTCTACTAGCGATGTGGGTTGAGGTTAGACTGGTAATTGGATAGCCGCGAGTCCACGTGGCATGGTTTTGCTAGATCCTAGACCTGTGGAGGATAACTGATCAAGCAGATGATCGAAGCCATTGGATAGTAATTTACATGGAAACAAGTTCGAGCTCGTTTGGATGTGTTTTTAAAAAAACTGAAAGCGTTTTTAGTGAAAATATTTTTGGAATCAATTATTAGTAAAAATGCAAGTAAATCCTGGAAAAACACTTTAAAAAGTGCTTTTGGAATCCAAAAACATTTTCTCTAAAGGCGTTTTAATAATTTTAAAAGCACATTCAAACGAGTCATTCATCTTGTTATAATGAGGTCCCGACTCAGTAATACAATGTTAAATATCTTTCGTGCAATCTTTCTCCAACACTGCAACGACAACAACAACAACAACAAAGCTTTATTCTATCAAAGGGGGTTGACTGTATAAATCATAAAACGGCATTGTGCTCAATTTTACGTCTAGTCCTCTATTATCTCCAAGCATTTCATATATTTTCTTAGTCTCTTTCCAAGTCTTCCTTTTATCTTTCTTTGCCTCTTCTGCTCTGAGCCTCCATATAATAATCTAACCGGGGCCTCTATAGGTTTATGGTTCACAAGTCCATACCACCTTAACCGTTTTTCTCTCATCTTATCTTTAATTGTAACCAGTTCTACGTTCTTAATTCTATTATTTCTAATTCTATTATTCCTCATGTGCCCACACATCCACCTAAGATTCTCTTCTCTGCTAGCCTACGCTGGATGAATGAATTTCTTCTTTTAATTTTTTGATCAAAAATGGAAGAAAGGGCATCGGAGTAAAATGATATCCGCGACTAACATTCAAATGATATCCCGCGACAGTAACGCAGTAGCATTAGAGCAGCCACTCAAGTAATTAACATGAAAAAGTGGGTTTATAACTTTGACAATCACCGGTGCATCGGAATTCAAATGTTTTAAATTTGAAAAGGAACAAAATACAATATACACGCTGTCGTCCTCCTTCTTTTCCTTCCCCTTATTGAACAACCAGAAAAAAAAGGGGATCGGCCGATTGACACCATTTCTCTCTCACACTCTGCTGCAATAAGCTTAAATCTGAAATGCCAAGTGCTCATAAAGTTTTGTCTAAAAAATGAAAATCCTGTTCGCTTGGCAATGCCAGCTGCATCTAAAATTATTTGGGTTTTTCGCAATTATCAAGATAAAACAACAGAAAAGATGATTAAGCAGCGGACTCCTTGGAAATCTTCTCTGCCTTAGCAATGACCTCCTCAATACCTCCAACCATGTAGAACGATTGTTCTGGAAGGTCATCGTACTTCCCGTCCAACACTCCCTGTCAACAAAATTACAAAAACAATGATACGAATTGAGCTCACAAGTACTCGTATCATTATTCTAAAAGCATCTTATTTAAGCTTTGGTAATGTTCCTGAGTGCAAATTGATAGATGCATGCATTCATGAAAACAAACAAATTACTCGCTTTCAATTGATCGTGAACTGATAGCCAAAAGGTACAAACTACATCTCACCATTACGCAGTCATAAACAAAATGATTATCGAGATAACAAATTATTATACAGATCTTGATGGGCATAAACATCACCGCCTTGTATCATACTGAATTTTGCTAACCTCACCCTACTCTTACAGGTTGATTCTCACGTTACTACTTAGTTTGAATAAAAATCCTTTGATTCAACAAATTGAACTAAAATTTTCCTAAAAACAACAAATTGAACTACAATGCAATTTGAGGAGCAGATGCATTTTTCCTGGATCTATCAGGACAGACTAATATTAAGTAATCAATCACTGTCTATGAGAAAACCTTCTTAAATTGTACACAGGTAACTGAGATGATAATAGAAAGAACTTCAGTGTGAAATATATGGAGAAAGGAGATTGAGAGAGAGAGAGAGAGAGAGAGGAGGGAGAGGGGGTACCTGGAAGGAGGTAATGCTTTCTTTCAACTCCACGTACTTCCCAGGGGCACCCGTGAAAACTTCTGCAACGTGGAACGGCTGACTCAAGAACCGTTGAATCTTACGAGCACGGGCTACAGTCAACTTATCATCTTCACTGAGCTCGTCCATCCCCAAAATAGCAATAAT